GAGTGTCCGTCAAGCCCGATTACCAGAAGAAGCTTCTATTCAGACACCTGAAGATCCGACCTTCCGCCAACTGCAATGGATTGATGAGCAAGACGCTGCAATGCGTACAGAACAAGACCGCATGATGCAGGATACAAGTGCGGAGTATCGCGTCGTTCGAGTAATATTCGAGGGCACGTCTATTCCGCTAAAAATGAACGTGAGCGACCTAAGATTGGCATTAGGATTGCTCTCATACCCACTTCGACCCCTTTTCGTGCGCCGGTTGTAACCTCTGTGGACGACCCTGAGGTCGATATGGAGGATGTCGATCATTGACAAATACAACTCATAAAAGTTGAAGAAGAACAATTTACCGGTAGCCAAAAACAACTTTTATTGTGTGCTAATCGAAAGCTCGGTAAAACCATATCCACGATGACGATAGAGATTTTCGCCTACCAATTCTTGCTTGCGAGTACATCAGTACATAGCGACTCTGAGTACACTCTTGTCGAAAAGTTGCCACTCCGTGTCGTTGTATCCAACGCTTTAAAAGCGAAAACGCCACCTCTATAGGATTACGATCCGGTGAGTACGGTGAAAGGAAGAACAGCAAAGCTCCCGTTGTATCCGCAAGTTCTTGAAGCTCTTTGTACATGTGTATCTTTGCGTTATCCATGACCAGTATGGAGCGTGGATGTGGCCATGGATTTAAGAAGGGAAGAACCTTGGATTTGAACGTGTCATGAAACTTCTGTCTTGTGAACGTGTCCTCAACGTGACCCCACGAGAAAAAATCGGTGACATCAAGCGCAGCAAGGACAGACACACGACTTCCTCGACTAAAAGGTAGCGAGGCATACGCCGGGGTATTTCTAGCTGATCATCCGTATTTGCGAAGCTCAGATCTACATTACATTTTGTTTAGTAAAGTAAACTTGAATCAAATTGATTAATAGTCATTGCTTGCATACCTAGCGTCCTTCGACGTTTCGTCAACGAAAACGAGTTGGTCCGGTCCACAATAGTAGGGCAGTAGGCGCTGAACATACTCTCGTCTCTCACGGGGAATGCTTTCACTATCACGCTTTGCCAGTACTTTGCGGGTCAGGCCGAGGTCGAAGCGAAGTGCACGGTAAATTGACGAGTCCGAAATGTTGAGAAGATCACTGAAGTTGGCGCGTAGTTCCTCACGGAGCTCTTCGAAGTAGAAGCACGGATTAGCCGTCACGTATTTCTTGACGAAGTTGCACACGTCTGGCGGCCATCTCGAGGTTTTATTTTTTTTCTTTCGCTCGCTGGAGACGTTACCAGTTTTTCGGAATTGGGTGTACCAACGCTCTAGGCTTCGTGCAGATACACCAAGAACACTACTTACCGTACTTCTATCGATATTGTACACGTAAACTAAGACAATAGCTCGCCAGCGGAGATCTACTGAAAAAGTCATAGTGCTGTCTGTTGAATAGAGTCGTTTGAACTGTCCCTTTGCCGGCTAAAGTCCGAATGCCAGTGAAATGACCGCCAATCGGACTAATGTGGTTGCGGCGATAGCTGCGTTAATACGCCCGGAGCCAGTTTTCATAGTGAGCTCTGATTGGTGCACGTTTAGTATTAATAATTCATAGAATGTAACGAGCTAACTTGGAGGTATTACCCTAACCCTCTGTTGAACGGAGGCACTTGACGACGTCCGATTTGCCAAAAGAGCTGCAAAGCACAATACTTGTATCAGTTAGCCTAAACTCGGGTCGATTGTGGAAGTGGTGGCGCAGCAAAAAGGCATGTACAGTGCGCGACAAATCATTAGGACCGTCCTTTTTCGTGCACGGTTCCGTTGATTGCGGCGCCTGTAGGACGACTTGGGAGCCGTTATTTAGATATAGCGTTTGTATTGTGATTATATAGCCGCTAAATGTGCTAACGGCCGCGAACTCGGCTTGCTTCACCACGCTAGCATACAATTGACTAGATCCGCAGCAGCGTCAAAACTTAGAACCACCCCTTTTTCTGTCAAATCGAACACTGTTTATGAACTTCCATACAAACTTCTATATTAAAATAATCGAACTTAAACGGACATGAGGAATGGAGGAACGGTGCGACCAGCGCGCTGGCGGCTTCCGCTGGGGCTCCTAGCCTTTCATTTTCTAATGGGCCGCGGATCAGCCCTCACTAACCAAGAGTATTGGTGGGTGATCGGCTTGCACGACGGTGGAGTCTTGCTACGTGAGATTCACGCAGAACCGGCCGCTCAAGAACGGCTGCGAGGAGCGCGATCAAGGCGGAGAGGATCCCGCAGAGCGGCGACAGCAGAGAGAAGCCAAGGGCAGGACGACAACCTGCTCTCACCGACTGAGAAGTGCGGCAGATCGTGCGAGCGGCTTCGACGGGCAAGTTCTTTGCCGCGGAGCTCAAGACCCAGTTCGGTGTCAAGGTTTCCGTGCGGACTATGCAGCGGCTGCTCAAGAACGTAGACCATCTGAACTACACGAAGATGGACAGGACGCTACCGCTAACGCCGGCCCACAAGGCTGCGCGTTTGGAGTGGGCTGAAAAGCACATTCTTAACCCTGGTAAGTTTGTTTACAGTGGTTATATTGATTAATTGCTAACATTATCGTAATATGTGTAGGAACATGGGAATATACTATTCTTCTGATGAAAAAAAGTTTAATCTCGATGGACCTGACGGCTACAAGTACTATTGGCGTGACTTGCGACAGCCAGCGCAGTCTTACGTATGCCGCCAGAACGGTGGCGGCAGCGTAATGGTGTGGGGCGCTTTTGGGGAGAAGGGCAAGAGCCAGTTGGCCATTTTGCGAGGCCGGCAAAACTCAGGTGACTACATCTACACTGTCTCAGAGTATTTGTTGCCATTTGCTCATGCTAACTATGGTGTCGACTTTGTTTTCCAGCAAGATAATGCGTCTATTCATGTTTCTCGTGAAACGACGCATTTCTTGCAGGAAATGCAAGTCGACACCATGGTCTGGCCGGCTCGATCGCCCGATTGTAACCCAATCGAGAACGTGTGGTCGGCAATGGCGGCACGGATTTACGCCCATGGCCGCCAGTACCGCACGGTAGAGCAACTGGAGGACGCCATTGTACACGCTTGGGGCTCCATCGAGCAAGAGTATTTGGACAAACTCGTGGAGTCCATGCCTCGTCGTTGTCTTGCTGTCATCAAGAGCAAGGGAGCTCTCACTAAGTACTAACTTTTAATGTAGAAGTTTGTATGGAAGTTCATAAACAGTGTTCGATTTGACAGAAAAAGGGGTGGTTCTAAGTTTTGACGCTGCTGCGGATCTAGTCAATTGTATGCTAGCGTGGTGAAGCAGGCCGAGTTCGCGGCTGTAGCGGCTATATAATCACAATACAAACGCTATATCTAAATAGCGGCTCCCAAGTCGTCCTACAGGCGCCGCAATCAACGGAACCGTGCACGAAAAAGGACGGTCCTAATGATTTGGCGCGCACTGTATCATTTCAACTTCGACAATCGCGTTTCATCTTCCAGTTTATCCACCAATAAAATCACGCTAATCATATTATTCCGCTTCTATTCGCCAAAAACATCACTAAAAACTCTTCAGATGCAAAAACGTCATGACGGACGCAAGCGACATCTATCGGCGCTTTGTGGAGGCTCCGTTGCGTCTCAAGACGCGAACATCTTCCCCTTCACCTCCTTCGACGCCCCCTCCATCAGCACAGCAGTATGACGCTTCCAATCCGAGCCCTTGGGCCGATTCACCTGCATTATCCACGCGATCCAAAGAGCTCCAGAAGCTGCGGCGGCGCGTAGCTAAAATCAAGCTTTTCGCAACGGATGTGGCGATTCCGAGGGATTTAGATGACGAATTCAAGGCTGTAGCAGATCTGGACATGGAAAGCGCCGCTGGAACGAGCTCCGTGGACGCAGGTATCACAAAATTAAGACAGAATAAGGCAGGATCGGGGAATAAAGATCCCAATACAGTATTGAAAAAGAAGAAGCGCGTAACGCGCTCCTCGAGCATGACGAACGAGGACACAGGAATGGATTTTATGGATACACCAACGAGGTCGTCGAAGCCGCCCAAACGACTTCGTAAGCACAGTCGGGATTTGAGTAGCAAGAAAGAAAGCGGAAAGGAGAACTGCAACATTCCTTCTTTCAGCCTGGATGGTACCGAGATAGAGAATAACAAGCAGAAAGATGCTACAGAATCGAAGGCAAAGTCTTCTACACCGAAGAGAAGAACGTCTGTGATGATCGCTTTGCCAGTTCGTCGAAGTCGACGACTGCAGCATGTTAAAGCGGAGTCGCCGGTGCTTATAGTAGCGGCGACATCGTCTCGGCAAGCCAAAGAGGTCTTAAAGATAACAGAACCAGCAGCAACTCTTCCAACTGAAGAATCTGTGGAGAAAGTGTCGGATGAAATGACGAGTTCGGATCCAGTGACTTTGCCAACGGAGGAACCAGCAGATCAAGCGCCGCCAGATTCAATCTCGACGTATTGCGACAAATTATTGGCAACGAACACCATATCTGGATGCTTTTTTGCATTGTCATGGAATGCTCTTCGCGACGTCCAGGATTCGTTTATTGCACAATCGACATCAAGTGAGTCGAATCCGCTCGAGAGTGTGTTCTCTATTTGCCTTGGCATCGCGGAGTGCGAGAAACTAGCCCAACATTCGTTCCCATCGAAATCACCAAAGCCAAAGTCGAAAATGCCAAGACGACGATCCTCTGGAAAAATAGCAATGAAAGCCAAGAAGACGAAGAAGCGGGTCCATTTCCGGAGCTTCGATCTCTCCTGCTTGAACTTGCAATACGTGGAAGACGAGCAAGTCGCTGTCATGGTCGACAAGATTTTAACCTGCTACGGGACCATCATGGAGCAGCTTGAAAAGATGGTATCACACTTTGATAATGAGACGGATTCTCCAGTGCAAACAGTGCTACGTGAGCTTTCACGCGTGATGGCGAGTCCGTCTAACATTTACAGCTGCAACGGTACATCGGATGCGTCAAGGAGGACGTATCGGCATGCTTTTGGCGGACGAGACTCCTACAGCCAGCACGAAATCCAGATTTGCGGCGAGTACTTCGCCCGTCAGTTCGCCAACCTGTTGCTTCTTCGCTCATCATCACCGTCTCCGCAGTTCCTACAAGGTGTTTTCTCGTCTCTAGCGTCTTCTTCCGTACGATTCAAGCTACGAGTTCTTTTCATCGAGAGCGAAGACTTTGGTGAGGGTGTTGACGACGGCGAGCTCGAAAGTCGGATACTGCTAGACGAGGACGGCAAACCTTTCCCAGCCATGGCGCCGTATGAACATCAGGACCTTGGAGCGGCTATTCACTGGGCATTGCAGGAATCTGTTTTGTATTGGCCACTGGTCAAGCCGCTTTATAATATGTTGGAGCGTGAGGAGGGTAGTAGTGAACGTTTTGAAGAAGATTCTCCCGTTAAGACATTCCTGGACGAAAACGCAGCCGAGGATCTCGACCACATGGAGAAATACGTCCTGGCTCGCCGTTTTCTGAGATTTCATCTAACGAAGTCGTGGCGTCATCGATTAAAGGACAGTGACGTTGCTGAGACATGGACATCGATTGAGAAGGTGTGCTCTCTGGCGAAAAGGTATGTGGACATCGATACTTCTCTTCTCAATCTAGGTAGTAATTGCTGTTTGGTATGGTATGATCTAGGTTTCACTTTGAGGATGAAGCTCATCTCTTTCCTTTGGCTTCCGTTGAAGACTTCATTGCTGTGTTGGCACGTGAAGAACCCACATTACAGCGAATGGAGGCGATGTTGCAATCGTTCTACGAACAGAAATACGGTAAGCGAGTGGAATGCGTACTCTGCTAGGGACAATCTTAGAGCTGATTGTTGATTGTACAGGGACGAGTTCTTTGCAGCCGGAACCGTGCATGGAATGTCATCATCTCATTACGAGGGAGGAGATTTCGCTCTCCATCAGGTGCACCTCGTGTGCGCGTCGATTCCACTTGGGATGTCTGCATCTACCGGAGTCCTTCGCTCAGTATGCAGACCACTACACTTGTCCTGCGTGCTTTCTCGGTCGCGGAGGGTATTGACGTGGGCACGAGTCATTTAAAAGTTTGGGTTCGTAAGTTAGGAACTGAAATTATAGACACTTAAAAGTGAATACATTGAATGCTATAGACTTCCTCGTCAACACAGCTATAGCCCTACCTCTTCAACAACTCGCTTCCTCTTCGGTTTCGGGCCAGGCTTTCGTCGACCGGTACCGTCATCAGAGAAGTAGAAGTCCAGCGGCGTCTTCAGCGAAGTATCAGGCGTAATCGGGGAGGCATCTACGGGCCAAGGAGTGAAGGAAGTCGAGTAACACGCCAGATAATTCTCGATCGAGTTCTGCTTCGTGTCGTACAACGAGTCGATACGACGCTGCTCCAACTCGGAGGCGTGGATCGCGTGCAAACACGGGAACTGCTGGTCCTGCCAGTCCTGGCATGTGCACTCCCAATCGACAAGGTTCACATGACGCCAACTATCGGGGATTTTCAGTCGCGTCGGACCTAGATAGCGCACCATGTAGAGTCCGTTCGCACAAGGAATGGACTGGACCGTACAAATTAGTAAGAATAACACACAAACACACCAGCACATAGTCAACGTACCTCACAGCGTTGACTGCCTTGCAGAATCTGTTGTAACTGTGCGTCTCGAAGCGGAACAAGCTCGTGTGCTGGACGTAACTTCACGGACTGACGGCGATGGTGGAAATTCTCGGCGATCTTCATAAAGTACTGGTTGAAGGCGTAGAGCGGGTGAGAACTTCCAATGGGATCCTCTCCAAACCACTTGAGATGACTCGCGCTTGCGTGTTGAGACAACAGCTCGTCACTGCCCAACGCCATGGAGAGATCCGACGTAAGTTCATTAAACGTCGGGCGTCGAAACTTCTCTAGAAAAGCGTATTTCACCCAGTTTGCGCGGTCCAATTCATCCAAATACGTCACTGCAGCCTCATTTGTGCGCACAAGAGCTTTGCGAAGCGCATCGTACTCGGTTTCGCTGTCACTACGGGCCAGATCAAAGATGCTCTGCTTCTTTTCGGGCGTCATGGGGATTTTTTTCACCATCACAAGCTCGTCTTCGACCACTCGGCGCATGCAAAAGTGGTGACTCGCTAGTGGCCATACGCGGTGAATAGCTGTCTGCAGTCCACGAGTACGTCCAGCAATCACAGTATACTGGTTCCAATCGGCCACTTGAGTACTCTGTAATGCAGTCAAAAACCACTCCCAATTTGCTTGGTTTTCTTCCGTAACAAGCGCTAGCGCGAACGTCACAACGTCGTCATTAAAGTCCTTCGTAGCAGCCTTCAGATACACTCCACAGATGGCGTCATCGTTCTCCTCGTCCTCGAGTTTCCCCACTGGAGTTTCAGCCACCTCCTCGTAATGTGTGATGTGATCCAGAGACACGATCTTACGGCAATGTTTGACAGTATTTAGCGTCGCGCTCGGGATGAATAGGGCGCGAGTAAACGCGCCGTCTTCTCTCGTTTCGACCCGGAATAGCGAGCCTGGGTTCTTCTCCGCCATGATGCCCAGATACCCGCCCAATTTCTGGAATGAAGCCCGTACTTTCGTGATCCTCTCTTCTTGCAATTGCCTTTTGATCCGTGACGCCATCATGTGGTTAATTGTATGTCCTTGTCCCAGTAGGATCCGTCTAATCGCTTTGCCATCCAGCTTGGCCATCGCCACGTTCGGTGCAGGATACTTGTTCACTTCATCTGTCACCATACGACACAGAGCCTTCATGGACATCGTGGTGTTCCTTTGAGCCTTCACACGTGGCGGTGGTGGAACCATGGCTGTTTCTGCAGGAACAGGCAGCTCAGAAGACCCAACGTCATCTTCTACTGCTGGCGCAGGGGCCAGTAGAGGCTGCTTAGCAGCGCTTGGCAGCGTACTAGGCAGATTTCCACTGGATACAGCCGTGGCAGCGGCAATTGCGAGCGGGTGGGTCGTCGTTGGGGGTGCAGCTCGCCAGCCGATGAACTTGTAGTGGTTGTGCAGGAAGCAGGCCCGCGTAATTTTCCATTGTTCGTCCTTACCGTAGCCGTTGATGTAGAACGGACACTGTATCTTACTGGCCGGTGTGTCCGGGTCGAAAAACTGCTGGCCGTTCAGCTTCTTGCAGCGATATTTGACGTTCCCGCCGCCGTTAGGACGCGTGCTGCTGCCTGACACGAACAGCTGGAAGCCGCGCTGCATGGCGAACTGTTTGCATCGCTCTTGTAGAGACTTTTGGCTACTGAACACGTCGGCGGCGCAGCCTGCTGCCTTGCTGCCTCCTTTCTTCTCGTATGCGATGCCAAACTCAGGCGCGGTTGAGTCTAAGCTCACGGGAAGGTCTTCCAAAAGTAGACCCAGCTTCCTCGCCTCCTGCAAGTCTGTCTCGTCCAGTCGGTTATACTGTGACGCTGCTGCGAGTACTGAAGCAGGCACTGACGGCTTCGGAGCCGCCCGAGCTGGCTTGGCCGCTTTGGGGGATGCGGTTTTGCCTTCCTCGCTACTCGCCATTAGTCTCAGTACTTTCGCTTCGTAGAAATGGTTTGGGATGAGGGGCACTGATGAGATTCAGTACCTGGTAATGCTCTTGTAGAGAGATGTTAAATCAAGTCGAACGATAGTAGAACAAGGGTACACTTTGTTACCAGCCTTTCACTTCACGATGTATCGCCGAGCACAGCGTCTCGGTGGTCGTGTGTGCGGGCGGCGATGGAGCAGCGCTAAGCCCTCGTCTTCCAGCTCTAAGCAGACAACAGTGGGCGCGTCAACTCGCTCTTCAATGCCCGGTACTGTGCGTGTGACCAAGGGTTACGGCGCTGATAAACATGAGGCGGAGCTGGACTCGACACTTGCGCGCATCATTGGTTCGGACTGGGGTGATCGATCGCACCAGCCTGTGTCCCTACCCATGCGCATCTACTGGGTCGTATTCGTTGTAGTGCTGGGCAACGGTCTATATACGTATTTCGCCGGCAAGGACGAGTCGTACCTGGTTGAGAAGCTTAAGAAGAAAGCGGATGAGAAGCTAGGCGTTGAAGAGGAGGAGAACGAGTTCGAGCAGATGGCAGAGGGGCAGCAGACGAGCTCTATTGAGGTGGAGAAGGCTGAGCTGAAGCAGGTGGCGACGACTACTGCACCAGCGACTTCGATGCTGAATACGGGCATTATGTCGTCTCCTGGTATGCCATTCATTGCACCGGGAATGTCCCCGCAGGCGAGTGCACGTCGCCCCAAGTCGAAAACAGAATTGGAACAACAACTTACACAGTTGCGAGAGCAGCAGAAACGACTGGAGAAACAGATTCGTAGTGGGGGAGGAGTTGCCAAGGAGGAACTGGAGCACCAAGTGCGCATGATTGACATTCAGAAAGAACAGATCAAGCGCATGATCAAACGCTTGTAAGTAGATGAAGACTCCTTTGATCATAGAAGGTAGTGAACCGATGGAATAGACGCATGCTTTAGCAACAAAGCGGGCATCTACTGACGTCTAATCCTCGTGACAGCAATGGAGACTGCGCCCCCGCCTGTAACGCTGATAACCTCTTGATTGCTGTTCACGAAGAAGTCAACCTTTTCCAGCGCAGCACGGTTGGTATTGTCGCCATGACCTGCAAAGAAACATGTTAGTATCGTCAATACTTGCCGAAAATGCACTGACATACTTACCAAGATTGCCGTGTTCGCCCCATCCACACGTATACAGCTCTCCGCTAGTTGTCACCACCATGGAATGCTCACTGCCGCATGCAATTTGGCTTATAGTGTGCGGAAATGGTACAACTTTGGGTTCGTACGCGTTGCCAAACCCTCCAAGACCCAACTGTCCATGACTGCCTTTGCCCCAAGTTACGGGCTCCGCGGCCTCTGTAAGGCACAACACAAAGTGCCATCCGCAGTCAACTTGAACGGTGCGGAGACTTTGATTATTGTCACGTGGGTCTGCCACTCGAACAGGTAGTGCATTCACCTGCTTCCGCCTCTCCTTGGGTTTTTCTGACGCTAATGAGCCAGACATTACGCCCAATTGTCCATGTCGATTGTTTCCGCAGGTAAATACCTCTCCGTCGGAAGAGCGAAACACCGAGTGCTCCCATCCGCAAAAGACATTGGCGACAGCCGTACCCTGCAAGGCCACGATGTGCTTGGGAACCTTTGTCGCCAAGGTTTCGTCTCCTAATCCCAGTTGCCCGTGGCGTCCACTTCCCCACGAGAATACGTCACCTTCAGCAGTGGCGAGAAGAGAATGCTTCCAGCCACATGCAATAGTTGCAACCTGCAGGCGTCGAGGCAAGTGTACAATCTCCGCAGACACTTCAGCTTCGTCAACGTTCATGCTTTGATCGCGACCTAACTGGTGATGATCATTGGAACCCCATGAGAAGACACGATCTTCTTGGTTGTCATCGAGTTTGGAAGATACGACTGCCAACGTACTCCACCACCCACAAACTACTAGCTTTGTTTTCTGTCATAGTAAAATTCAAACAAGATTTCAATTGTTTTAACCGGACACGTCATCTGTACGCAAGAGAACTCGGAACTACTTACGCTTTCGCGCGGAATACAAGCCACAGTCTCACTTGGAATGCTCCTAAAATTTTGTTCTAGCTTTGACGTGGTGTTTCCAAGTTGGCCTCGATCACTTGAGCCCCAAAAGAAGAGTCGACCGTCGCTACTAACTCCTGCCACACCAACATGAAACATTTCTGTTGATCTGATATTGTTGCCACAATCTCAACGCACCAACTAACCTGCACTGTGGCACCCCCCAGATGTGACGGACTCTACTTGTACCTGCAATACCAACACACCACGTCAAGTTTTACGTAATTTACTGCAGCGTTCAAGTGCTGTAACCTGGCCATTCTCCCAAAGCTGAGGAAGAGCGTAGTCATCCTCCGTCCCCAATCCGAGCTGACCAGTCCCTCCTGTGTATTTACAGGTCAGATCATCGTGTAGTGGTGAGTTCTACGCAGTAGGGACGGCGTACCAGACCCCCACACGTACAAGCGCTTCTCCATCGATTCACAAAAGGATACGCACGATCGACTAATGACCAATCAGAGACGCCTCAACATGAGCGGATCTGTAGACGAACACAAGCAGCATTTTTCACTTCGTTCATATTGTGCTCTGGATACTTGGCTACATTCCTCATTCTTGAATTATTTTTTGCTGTGTGCTTTCTTTACTTCCTACCGCCAGTCTGAATGTCCGCCTTACTTGCGGTGGTGGAGACGGCGGGCCTCGTTGACCATGAGCCCGTAGAAATGCTTGTAGTCCATGCATGCCAGCAAGTGGTCGACGAACCACGCGTAAGTGTGTTCCTCGAAGAGCGCCGTAAATTGGCCGTCACGAATCTCCCTGCATTCCTTGAAAAAATCCTCAATCGTTGCCCCTTCGGATTCCACAAACTCTGCACGCAGCAATAGCACACAGCTAGATAGGCACTTGTTGCGATTGCAGCATCACGATCGTTGATAAGTTCGCTGAAATATCGCACTCACCCGATAACTCCTCCTCGAACAGCTTGAGATACTGGTCATGCAGCTCCTTGTATCTTTTCAAAACGACCGAACCACCCTTGTCAGCTTCAAACAAAGACCATTTGATCACACGAAGCCACGCCGTACTCGTGCTTATGCTCGACGTCTCCATCTTTCGCCTCTGTCGCGTCAATGAACGCATCGGCGTGATCCCTAAATCAGATCCAGTGCCACGTCACATTCTGCATCACTTCAACCTGTGCCAGCTGAGAGACGGCACTAACCTGGCGAAGTTGTCGAACACGCGCTCAAACTTGGGCGACGAGCAGAACTCCGCGGCACGCGTGATGATGGTCATGGCACAGCGCAGAATTAGAAGGTGACAGACCTCTGCGGCGCTGTGCTGTTACAACTTGCAACTCGCAATGCAACAGTCGCGACCTTTCGCAAAGGAATGGCTACATTTCTTGTGGCTGCAGTCACAAGATTGGCAAAGCACACACAGCACAACAGCCGGAAACAAGTCAACTGCCGTTTTCAGCCAATCCGAGGACGTCGCACGACGAGAATCGGGATGACTGGTGGCGGAGGCTCGTGTGGACCACAAAAGAAGAGCCATTTCCCTTCAACTCCGCTCCAACGGCGCACAAAGTGATTTAACTCGTGGTGATTGGTCATTATGAAAACTCAAACTTAATTTTACATCAATTAACCAATCAACACTCTTGAAACTGTCGCTTATTGCGCCATCATTCTCTTGCCACTTCGACACTGGGGGAATTTTGCGCCGCGCTCCACCAATGATGCCAGTCTCTTTCTCTCTCTTTCAATAAAAAAAGAAAAAAAAAGGTTACCCCCTCCGCCAACGACAGGTATGTTGCTTGCGTCTATGACGGCACTAACGCGGCGCCTTGGCGCCGTGTATTGCATCTTGGCCCACCAGCATGTCGGCCATCATGCATGCATTGCCGGTCGTCCATTATAGCGCTCGCAGTTGCTGACTGTGTCTTCGTTCTGCAGCAGCAATGGCCAACTCCGCGACTTCCCCGACCAACAGCCCGGCCCCCGCCGCCAGCGCCGCTCCGGCCGCAACCACGTCGACGGCCTCGACCTCTGCGGCCTCGTCGGCTACGGGCGCTGCGCAGCCGTTCCACACGGCGTCGCTGTATGTGGGGGACATCCACCCGGACGTGACGGAGGCGTTGCTGTTCGAGATCTTCAACGCTGTCGGCCCGGTGGCCAGCATCCGCGTGTGCCGTGACGCTGTGACCCGTCGCTCGCTGGGCTACGCCTACGTGAATTTCCACAACGTGGCCGACGCCGAGCGCGCCCTGGACACGATGAACTTCACGAGCATCAAGGGCGTCCCGTGCCGCATCATGTGGTCGCAGCGCGACCCGTCGCTGCGTAAGTCTGGCGTGGGCAACATCTTTGTCAAGAACCTGGACACGTCCATCGACAACAAGGCGCTGTATGACACGTTCTCGCTGTTTGGCAACATTCTCAGCTGCAAGGTGGCCATTGATCACACGACCGGCAACAGCAAGGGCTACGGCTATGTGCACTACGAGACGGCCGAGGCGGCCAACGAGGCCATTGCCAAGATCAACGGCATGCTCATTGCTGGCACGGAGGTTTTTGTGGGCCATTTCCAGAAGCGTCAGGACCGCCCGGACGCCGACGACTGGACCAACTGCTACGTTAAGAACATCCCGACCAAGTGGACGGACGCAGACCTGCTTAAGGAGTTCGAGCCTTTCGGAAAGGTGCTCAGCGCTGTCGTCATGAAGGACAACGCCAACCCGGACCAGAACCGTGGGTTTGGCTTTGTTAACTATGAGGAGTCGGATGCCGCCCACAAGGCCGTGGAGGCTCTGAACGGTAAGTCGTACCCCGTGGGTGAAGGCGTGGAGACCGAGCTGTACGTCGGCAAGGCCCAGAAGCGCTCGGAGCGTGAGCGTGAGCTGCGTAACAAGTTCGAGCAGCTCAAGATGGAGCGTATTAACAAGTACCAGGGCGTCAACCTGTACGTAAAGAACCTGGACGACCAGCTGACCGATGACGAGCTGCGTGAGGCCTTCGCTGAGTGCGGCACTATTACGTCGTCGCGTGTGATGCGTGACCCTAACGGAAACTCGCGCGGCTTCGGCTTCGTGTGCTTCTCGACCCCCGAGGAGGCCAACAAGGCTGTGGCCGAGATGAACGGCAAGCTGATCTCTGGCAAGCCCGTGTACGTGGCTCTGGCCCAGCGCAAGGAGGTGCGTCGTGCTCAGCTTGAGGCCCAGCACGCCCAGCAGCGCGCTGGTATGGTCGTGGGCCGCGGTATGCCTATGGGCCAGCCGCCTATGTACGGTGCGGCCCCCATGTTCTACGGCCAACCTGGCCAGCTCCCGCCTCAGGCTCGTCAGGGCTTCATGTACCCGCAACAGATGATGCCGCGTGGTGTCCAGCGTGGTCCGATCCCGTACGGCGCTCGTGTGCCTGGCGCTCCGGCTCCGGGTGGCTACCCCATGCCTGGCTACGGCATGCCCATGCAGCAGCAGCGTGGCCAGCCGCGTCGTGGCCGCCAGGGCCCCGGCCCGCAGGGTCCTCAGGGCGCTCCGGCCAACCGCCGCAACTTCAAGTACACGGCCAACGCCCGCAACCACCCGGCTCGCGATGTGCCGCCCCAGGGCGTGATGCCGCCGGCCGCGCCCGTGCAGAACGCTGGCCCGGAGCCGCTGACGTCGGCTGCTCTGGCCGCTGCGTCGCCGGAGATCCAGAAGAACATGATCGGTGAGCGTCTGTACCCGCTGATCCACCGTCAGCAGCCTGAGCTGGCCGGCAAGATCACGGGTATGCTGCTGGAGATGGACAACGGTGAGCTGCTGCACTTGCTGGAGAGCCCGGAGGCCCTGGAGGCCAAGATCCAGGAGGCTCTGGCTGTGCTGGAGGCCCACCAGGGCTAAGTCGTGGGCCTTGGGCCTTCGACTTCGCGGGCGTCTTGTGGTGTCGTGTGTTTGGCCATGCACGATTTCGGTGAGGCGGCAGCGGGCTTCCTGTGCTGAGGCTGGGAAGCAGTGAAGGAGGAAGTTCGGGGAGCTGCGGCTCCTGCTTTTTGTGTCGTTGGTGTTGGGTCGTCATTGCTTTGGTGGGTTTTGGTGGAAAGGAATTACACAAAGAAATATGCTCAAGATCACGGGGAAAGACACAATTGGTGGGGGTCGTAGCTAAACGAAAACATGAGAAGAGATGATCACAACGCCTCTGCCCCGCGGTTCTGCCTGCCTCTTGCCTCCGCCTGCAGCCTGCAGAATCATTTTTTATTTGTCGCTCGCGACGGCCTAGATAGTTTTAGTTTTGCATTAGCCTTTAAGCTTTTCCTCTTTCCACGCAGTGTTCTTTTGCATCCTTTTTGCAATCCTGACCCCCAAGAACACTCGTTGAAGTCGTAGTCTTTACCCGTTGCTACCTATCGCCCGAGCTAGCGATCAGAGCCTGCAGTTTAGCAAATTGCTGGCATTGCAGGCTTGCTTCAAGCGGAAAGTCAGCGACTTTACGTTGCGATCCAGCAGCATCAACCGCAACGAATCTCTCCTTGCTGGTGTTTGAGGTTGGAAATACTGTGGCTAGACTACCGCAAAAGTCAGCGAGTAAGTTCCACCGAGATCGCAGGGCTTCCCAAGACTGATCAAAACTTGATGGCGAATTATCAGCACTTTGATCAAGGAGCTGTCGTATAGGAGCTTCGTTCGCAGCAGTTCGTAGTTCTTGTTGTTGAGTCTCAATGGCAGAAAGCTTGGCATCGGGGAAAGACCCAGTCAATCGTGGACGATACACGCGAATAATTTCTTGAAAGTCGACAGGATTCAAGAGCGCAATTTGGTGAGGTAGTACCGGCGGGAAAGCGCTCAGACTTGAGCAGCTACTACCGTGTTCCTCCAGTTTTTCTGCCAGACTATGCAAACCCTGCACAAATTCCAGCATCCTATCGGCAGTACTCACGATAATCTTCTGTCGATCGTGGGCATCGAGTTCATCAAACAGCTCGGCAGACCAGCTGCCCATTCCCCGCACAAAGGCGACAATCGAGTGAGGCTTGACAGCGAACATCCCATCCGTTGAGCCCATCATTTCTCCCAAGCCACTCTGATCACGCAGGGCAGCACGTTGATACGCTGGCAGAGGTCCTTCCACACCCACGTCACCGGCCAGAGCAAGACGCAGCATGGCTATCCGCTGGGGCTGCTGCGACATCAAGGTCACATAACCTACTTGTAAACCAGCGCGTGTTTTAATCGCGATAGATCCCACTACAAGCGCTATCTTGAGATTAAGCCACCAAGTCGAACATGGTGCAACAGACGCATTCCTTCGAGCTAGAAGACGCTGGATAGGGACCCTCGCGTTATCAAACCAGCGCATAACCTCAGTTAACTTCCACCATGATGTATCTCCAAGATGGGGACAAGTAGTCACTGACGCAGCAGTTAGCTCTTCAGCGTTTCCTGTGGCAACCTGACGCTGGAGATACGCCAACAAACTTGTGAGATGCGAGTACCATTCGGCATTATCAACGAACAGAACGGAGTCGAAGAAATGTTGCATCAATGTATCCAAAGGAGGCCGTGCACTTGATACACGGACAAACCCAGGAAGTGCTTGCTGCTCTATTTTTCGACCAAGACTGAGAGCAACAGCACCGACCTCTGAGTCGGTCACTTCAGTGCAGCATCCAATGACTTTATGGAGCCAACGCTTGTTTACAGCCTGAAGAAACGTCACCAATGTGTCGAACATAATTTCACCCGTACTGCTTGGATCTCCAATTTCCACTTGTAGCGACAGTAAATGGAAGGATACAATCTTCTCTGCACAATATACACGCACACGCACATCAAGAAATGGTCGTCTGCGGTCCACACTGTGGAGACTTAATGAAAACGCCCAGCTCCTCTGTAATATTCGACCAAGTGCTTGAAGGTTGGCGCCAACTGCTACACGAGCGATCTGTGGCACAAACGTATTATCACCGATTCTTGTGCTCTTCTGTGTCTGACAAATCGTCGCAGTTTGGTCAAAGCTCAGCCCCGCAGCTAATAAATCCACCACGCGGTGGAACAGCGTCACTGATCGAACTATCACTCGAACTTCTGCTGTACCGTCCGAATTCTGCTGATCCAATATATCTCTTTCATCCAATGTGCTTTCGAACACCGCTAAACTGCTACCGACCCCTGAATTAACATCTTCCGCTCGAAACAGCACATCACCCAAGGCCACATCCACCACGTCTCGGTCCAATAGAAACGCTAACACATCGCCATCCATTGGAGCTGCTGGGGAAGAATCTACAGTTTTAACTGGAGACTGAATAGTAGACGCAAGTGTAGGCTCTGGGGTAGCAGGAGCCGACACGGTTGCCCCATTGTCTCTACTCTCCGGTTCAGTAGGCGTCGCTACTAGCGGCTGCACCGGAGTTTTCACTGCAGCACGCTCATTGCTGTCCAGAGATCTGCGCGACTGTTGTTTCTTGGGGAGCGCTGGAACATTGTCAAAGTATCTCTGTTTCTGCACTGGAGGCAGGTCCTGGTACTGACTCCATCTAACAGGATGCTGCAACCTGAAGTGCGACTTGTAGTTGTCTGTACGGAACGTGGGGCCGCTCCAATATTTGGGCCTTTGTGTTCGAGCGCGTTGTCGTTCAGATTCTTTTGGATCGGCCTCTCGTCCGAAAGCGGCGCAGAACATGCAGAGCACAGATGTGACCTGGCCCGTGTCTGGGTCGCGTTCTACCGCGCGCACGCCATACAAATACTCGTGTGCCTCGAGAAAAGGCACAATGCGCTTGACACGCTTCCTCTCTGGTTCCGATGACATGCTAGATCGGGATATTGCCGCAGGTTGACTTGATTTAAGTAAACGACTTAACAGCCACTTAAGTGAAAACTCTACTTCGAAGTAAAGTAGTCGTGAAGTAAGTTCACTGCCAGTCAATTATTAAACTCGTGCGGCCCACACACGACGATGGCTAGCGCGATGCGAGCGAATGTGATGCGCGTGGCGGCGCGCCAGCTACGGCGCCAGACGCAGTCGGTGGCTGCTTTGCACGTGAACTCTTTCCCCCAGTCGGTGGCGCAGACGCAGCTTCGGTCGATGAGCGTATTCTCAAATATTAAGAAGACGGTGTCTGGCAAGCTGGAGGAGCGCAACCAACACAAACAGGGTACGGATTAACGGTGATATAGATGTAAACAACAATTAATATACCGGAGACAGAGAGGCTGATGGTCCCTGCGCTGCTATTGCAGAGGAGGCGTACAAGCAACAGATGATTGAGCTCTCGCAGAAGGACAAGTTCGACCTGAATGGTTTCTACGACCACCTGAAGGTGAGGACAATGCTGTAAAAAATATTTATTCACGTTCGCGGATACGAAGACTCATTTGGCGCTTTGGTGTAATAGAAAAACGCTGAGGCGAGCGGTGCGAGCGGCTGGCGATCCATGATCCCGGGCGTGTCGTCCATGGTGAGGCCGATTGCTGCTGGTTAAAATGGGTTGATGTGGTGCTGATGGTACTTGGATACTACTGGATGACAGACTGCTGTGCAGCAGATGAAGACGTTCATGGCCATCTTGGAGTCGATGGAGGTACGATGTTCTCGTATAGTTTTCAGATGCAGTTGATGCTGATGCGACTGTATATTGTGCAGCCCGAATACCGTGAGAACCCGCGCCTCATTAACGGCAAAATCAAGAGGAAGATCTCTGAGAAGGCTGGCCACGTACGTCTTGCTCTCTTGCTAAGTTGATGCTATCCGTCCTCGAAGTTAACGTCGTTTCTGCAGTCCCCGGAGGATATTAACAACATGCTGCGCAACTACGAGCAGCTGTCCGCTCTCCACATTTGGTTGGTGAAGCGTGTGGAACGTGGTCTCAGTATCCCTGAGACCCTGGACGAGACCACGGAGCTGGTGCGTCAGGACCCCACGGGCTTCCCCGCCAGGAAGTTCAGGTACGCAACAACAGCTTCTTCTTTTCACTCCGTGACCATTGCTCTAACAGTGTTTACTACCGCTGCAACAGGATGAAGCAGCGTCGCTACTAATCAGCACAAAGCACTAGAAGCTCGATCGTAGCATCAGACAGAGGTCAACTTCATTAGCGAGCGCCCTGCTCAAGACAATTGACCTTTTTTCATCCAATCACATGTCGTTAAAATGGCTATCCTTTTCACAATTTTCTAAATATCCGCAACCACAAACACGACAATCCACTTGACAATCGCAACGCTAAGAGCCACCTCACAGCCATGCAGAGCTCGCACAACGTCGTGTTTGGAGACCCCCTGAAGCCCGTGAAGCTCGACGACTTCCGCAATGTCCTTATTCGGTATACACCTTCCTCTTCAAACTCATTTGGTAGCAAAGCATTCTAATTTGTGACCGTAAATTCCAGCCAAGAAGAGACCATCATCTTTGCGTTGATCGAGCGTGCGCAATTCCCTCGAAACCCGGAGGTCTACGTGAGCATGAAGGAGAGGTATGCTATTGGCTTCAATTAGCAACTATACTTGCAACGGGACACTAAAACTAATATTTTGCTGTACAGCAAGAGTGCTGCTTTTGGAGGTTTGAAAGGCAAGTACACGACCTTCGATGGCAGTCTGCTAGACTTTATGTTGCTGGAAACGGAGAAGCTGCACGCATTGACACGTCGATACACGTCTCCGGATGAGAACGCCTTCTTCCCGCACCTCCTACCAGCGTCGATCCTACCGAGTCTTGACTACCCACGCGTGCTCAACCCGAACCGGATCAACATTAACAACCAGATCATGAGCGTGTACCAGGAGAAGATCCTACCGGGTCTGACAACCCTCGCTAGCGACGACACGGCGGTACGAAAGCCTTACGCGTTTTTTTAGTGTTCACGGAATGCTTACGTCGCTTAAATTCTTTAACGACAGTACGGCTCTACGGCGACGGCGGATATCGCGGTGCTGCAGGCGCTGAGCAAGCGTATTCACTTTGGCAAGTTTATCGCTGAAGCCAAGTTCCAGGCCGAGACAGAGCGCTACACGAAGCTCATCCTCGCGAACGACGCTGACGGAATCATGGAGGCTCTTACCAACCTCGCCGTTGAGCAGGTTCGTTCTAATTCATCCTTTCAAGTGGGGTACCATGGCTTACCTGGTTGGAAATATACTCGTGTGTATCTATTAGAAAGTACTCGAACGTGTCAAGTTGAAAGCGTCGACGTACGGTCAAGACCCGAACGCTCCGGCTTCGTCGGATGACAAGGAGATGAAGGTGAACCCGCAGCTTATCTCGGATCTGTACCGCGACTTCGTCATGCCTCTTACGAAGGAGGTACAGGTGCAGTATTTACTGCAGCGTGTTGCTCACCCGTCGATCGCTGTGGCTGGAGCGGAAGGCTCGTTCTGCTGGCTGGCAGCTCAGGCGCACTTCGGAGGAGAAACGTTGGACAAGGACCAGTTGCTGCAGGCTGAGTCCATCAGCCAGGTCTTCTACGATGTCAACGCGAATCGTACGGCCTACGGTGTTGTCCCGATCGAGGACTCTCGTCTGGGTATGATTAAGGAGACACAGGCGCAGCTGTTGCGTAGCTCTCTGAAAGTGTCCGCAGAAATTGTACTCACGCGCTCGTTCATCTTCGCGGCCAAGGACAAGCAACTGGGCAAGAACTCGGATGTAACCAAGGTCTTCTGTCCGACAGACACGGATGCTCGGCTGCTGGCACAGGCCGAACAGTGCTGGCCGAGCGCTCAAGTGGTGTCTGTAGCCAATGTATCCGAGGCAGCGAGTCGTGCCTTCAATGAAGCATCAACAGTGGCGGTGACTACAGCTGGCGCCGCGGAGTCTTGCGGCTTGGAGCAGGTCGATACGAGCCACGCACTGGCGTCTGAAGCTGGCGTTGCGGAGAGCAAGTCGTTCATCCGCTTCGTCATAGTGTCCAAGGGTTACCCTGCAGCCACGGGCAAGGATAAGTCGTGCCTGAGCATGGAGATCAAGCACGAAGTGGGCTCTCTGCTCAGTGCGCTGGATGTATGGAAGAAGCACGGAATCAACCTTTCGTGTCTCGAGTCGATTTATCGTCAGGAAGAAGGTGGCTACGACTTCTTCGTGGAGATCGTGGGTCACTTCGATGACGAGAATGTGCGGCAGGCGGTCGAGGAGCTGCAGTCGGTGTGCACCGTCAAACACCTTGGCTCGTTCCCCATCGCCAAGCGCCCTATTCAGAGCTAAAGACTTGTTCACAGTTAACAGGGAGCACATGTATCCACTTCCCTAGAGACGAAATACAACATTCATGAGCAAAGGGCAACCCAAACTTGCCGAGTCGATTCACATTTCTGGTTTTGGTTTGTTGGTTCACCATCGGGATCGGTTGTCGTCCAGGTCGACGTACTCAGCATCGATGACGGTTTTCCGTCTGCCGCCCACCGATGAATCACGAAGCAGGTCGATCACGTCTCCGGTTTGTCGGTTGCGATCTATAAAATTAAAGCGATTATAAGTGTTAGAGAGCATAACAAACAACACATACAGTCCTTCAACGTACACTTGAGTTCCGTGAAATCCAGCTTGCCTCCTTGGCCAACCGAAGCCTTCATACTCACCCGCGCAGATCCGTAGGGCCCATTGACAGGAAAGACAGCTTCAATGAGTCCAGTGCCATTCACAGCTGCACACAACAACAACATAAACCTATTAGTCTGCAATAACTGGATCCAGAAGACACAAGATGTCCACGTACTCGACTCCATCCACTGCTCCGGTCCGCCAACGCTGACATTATCTCCCATCTGTTCACGCACGCGCTTGTTCGCCTGCAGATACTCGTTCGTACGTCGTCGCAGCTCACCCGCTCTTTCCATTGAGCTCTGCATCACCTTGCCCACGAACGAAAACATCGTCTTGACAATCCCACGCACAACCAGAGGCATGCCCTGGACCAGCGAGTCCAGATCATCCTGCACCGCCGACTTGGTGCGTCGTCGACTGCGCGTAAACATGTCGTTTAGCGTGTCAATATTGGAGCTCACATTGCTGAACGGATCGCTCGAAGACCGGAAGTGCGCCCGGTACGGGCCGAAGAAACGCTGGTACAGCGTGTACATTCCGAATCCCGCAGCCCCAGCAATGGCCAATCCAAATGCCACTACAAATCATAATATCAATACTAGTCCACAATAGTAGCTAAAATGTCAATAGGTTATTGAAACGTACGCGATGTGGAAGCGATGAGCGCGCCTGTGCCAAGCAACACGAGACCTCCAGTCTTCAACGTGGACTTCCAGTCGTTGCCGTTCTGCCACGGGTTTCTCCCTGGCGAATAGAAGCGCTTCAGCTGGATTGCCGCTGCAGGCGTGTGTCCGCTGCCAAACGCTTTGTTAATGGGTAGAGTAAGCGATCGAGACAGCAATGGTAAAGAAGATGCGAGTGGGGACTTCGAACGTGTGGCAAAATGAAGGCGAGCAGCGCGGTCTGAAGCGCATTGAGTGCTCAGCGGGGAATCCAAGGTACTCATTGAGGCATACGGAGCTGCACACGCACGTACACGCGCTGCCGCTAGCGGAGACGTGCAGCGACGTAGCAACCACGACGAGCTCATCTTCGAATGCGAAATGAGAGCTACAACGCTTCTAGAATGATGGTATTAGAAATAGAAACTATAATATGTGGTACACCTACAATAAGGATTGTGACTGGTGGTAGAATTATGTGGTACACCTACATAAACGATTGTGTATCTCGGTACAATAATTGTAAAACAATTATTGTCTAACAACTTTTAGTCGTGTTTGAAGGGACTATATATATATATTGTGATTTGTTCTCAGGAATGATGGTCATCTCATCATCTATTTTTAGCTCCATTTTGAAGTCTTCTTCGGGTATCAATTTACTTGACTTGATGGCGCAGTTCTGGCCGACGGACGTGTACTTGTCCCCGCCTGCTGATGATTTAGCAGCGCCCGAGGCGGACGTGCAGCGACTGGTATGGGCCGTCGCGGGCGCGTTCGTAGCTGCGTCCGTTGTGTCGTCCGCATTGCTGATCCGGGGCCACCTCAATCACTTCACTCAACCAATCGTGCAGAGCAAGGTGCGAATATGAGAGCCTGCATCAATAAATTCTTACTACAAACCTCACAAACTAATTGTAGATCGTGGGCATTTTGTGGATGGTACCAATCTACGCGACGGACTCGTGGCTGAGTCTGCGCTTCAAGGACGCCGCTCTGTACCTGGATCTGATGCGTGACTCGTATGAAGGTTACGTGATCTATCTCTTCCTAGCTCTCATGATCGCCTACTTGGGTGGAGGTAGCAATGAGAGAGTCCTTACAATGATGAGGGGACTACCAGATCTAGAACACCCGTGGCCATTTAATAGGTGGTTTAAACCCATTCAGATGGGTCCTGGTTTCTTACGAGACTGCAAGATGGCGACGATGCAGTTCGTGGTGATCAAACCCATGATGGCCTTTGCGGCCATCATACTGAGACTCAACGGCATGTATGACCAGGGCAATTTCAGTGCCAAAAAGGGGTATTTGTACACGAGTTTGGTGGTCAACGCCTCCATCACGTACGCGTTCTACTACCTGGTGTTATTCTACTTGGCATTGAGCACGCAACTCGCGCCCTACAACCCTGTACCGAAGTTTCTGTGTATCAAGGCGGTGTTGTTCTTATCGTTCTGGCAGAGTGTGGTGCTGGCATTCCTGTCTCGTTTCCAGATCATCCACGAATTAGGGTCCTGGAGTGTCGAGAATGTCACCACGGGTATTCAGAACCTGCTTATCTGCTTCGAGATGTTCTTTGTGGCTCTTGCACACCATCAAGCATTCCCATATAAGCCGTATGTGCATGGTAATCGGGCGCTACGTACGAACATCCTGGCTGATCACCTAGCGTTTGAAGACGCCATGCGCGACTTCAATGAAGTCATGCCGGTAGTGCTGCCTACTGCTTTCAAGCCTGGTGCAGCGACGCTTAAGGCCAAGAAGAAGTACGATTTAGTTCACCCAAAAGATCTTTTCGCCACGGAGACTGTGGGGCTACTGAGTGACGATGGATGTACATCCGATGCTGAAAGTGAGTCATCTTTGGACTCAAGAACCTCAAGAAGCTCCAGAAGCTCAAACACTGCTGTATCACGTGGTTGGAAGCTGTAGGACGTGGTTTTCTTTTTATCTATTTGAAACGTTTACACAGCGGTATACTTTTAAGTACATTCAAAACCGATTCTAGGCTTTGCTAGTGTTTTCCTTGTGCTATGTACTCTGCATTCAACATTTCCATACATGCGTTCACGGGTTCTCTTTACGAATCTGGAAGTTGCGTAAGTCGTCTTGGCCTTTCAACTCCAGACCCTTCTCATTAGCCAGATGCAGGACGCAAATGAAGTAGAACGATACTGTCACATTCGAGGGCACCTAAAGCAACATCACAAAAATAGGGTTAGGAAACTAATACAAAGCATAAAACCCCAACTCTTTCGTACCTTGCCAGCCACATTCTCAACCACATTTTCAAAAGTAGTCTCTAGTGATTCATCACCTTCATCAGTCTCCTCTTCACGTGGACGTTTACCGCTCTCATTCAAGGCGACAGCACAGTCAGTATCGCCAGTCGCTTCAACATTGTCACTGGCATTCTCCTTCTTGCTAACTTTTTTCTCCAAATGGTCCCAGATACTGCCCTTCAACTTCTTAACATCCACCCGCTTGGCAAAGCGTTCATAGTGTACGCCAATCTTCTCCACTACACGATCCGCCTGAACCAGACCTTCCACAGAATACAGCGCTTCTGTGCCAGGGTCGTCCACTCCACTGGTGCCTTCATCTTCATCGTAATCAGGTTCAAACCCGGCGCTATCCTCATTGTATGTAAACGGCTGTTCCCGATCGTGATCATCGGCAGCGTCACCACTGCTGTCTCCGAATTCAAAGTCATTTACTGTAGCGCCTTCCCGATGGGCATTGTCCAGACCTCCGCGCTTCTTGAAGAACCGCGTCCTTTCCTTCAAAAAGTGTCTAAAGAACAGATTAAGCTCAATGTGCGTGTCCACTGGCAATACAAGGTCGGAAGCGTTCTCCGTCTGCTTCTTCAAATTGCCCTTGGAGATCTCCAGGCTGGACATAGACTTCGGAGCCTTTAGCCTCGACAGATCAGGATCGCCACCGAAGAAATCCACCGTAATTGCCTTCTTATCCACACCAGCAGTACTTCCTTTGCGGACACGTTCGGTGGAGGCTTCGATTGGTTCAGCCTTGATGGCAACGCCATCTTCATCGACCTCTCCATCCAGTCCGTCCTTCTCTGCATCTTCTTGAAGACGCTGTTTCATTTTACGCACTGCAGGGAACTTCCAATGACCCGGACCAGCCCAATTCCGGAGCATCTTGACGTCAAAGTAAGAGTAGTCATTCTTACCCTCCTGGTCGTCATCTTGATCGTCTTCCACGTTGGTAGATCGAACAAGGGCAGACTCAATCATCTGCGAGAAGAGATTGTTCTCGTAATTCTCCGGCAAGTTCTCGTTCACCTTGGCACGGAAAAAGTCCGCAGCACTTGACTTCAGCGACGATTCCTTGTCTAGAGCCATAGGACCGCGCTCGACGCCATCCAAAGTAAGATCGTCTTGCACGCTGTCTTCATCATCATCACTCCCAGCCAGATCAATGACGTCCATCTCCTTCTCTTTCTCTACGTTCACATCTTCAGCAGGTTCAACCTCTGTGGCTTCCTCTGCGTCACCAACAGTGTCAGCGCCATCCTCATCAGCGTCATACGCTGTATTGTCGTCTCCAAAGTCCACCGGCGTGTCTTGAGGAATATCTTCTCCGTCGGATTCATCCTCACTGGCACCTTCCATGATTCCAGCTAGATTCATGGTAATGACATCCTGCTTGTCCAGCGTCTTCCGTCGTCCCTTGACAGGCGTTTTGAGTAAGAAGTCGTTCTTGATTCCAAGTTTGTGGCGGGCTTCGTCACCGTAAAACTCGTCAAGCTGGTCATACATCCGGTACAACGGCGGACAAACCTCCAGACTCTGGACATCCTGGCTGATACAAGACAGGTTACCGAAGACTGACAAGCTAATACGCTCTTTAGTAGCAGGAGGATTGTCTCCTTCCTTTGTCGATTCGTCAGGACTCCCCCCATCCTTAGCGTTCGTATCATCCGCAGCTTCCTCATCTTTCCCTTTACTCTGCTCTTCCTCGGTGGTAACATCTTCCGACGAGTCTCCCTTCTCCTTCTCGTCCACATCAACATCACTAGTTCCCACTTTCTTGTCTTGTTCCTCCATGGTCACGCCTTCTCCATTCTCACCAGCTTCATTTACCACTGAACCATCCTCTTCCGTCTCTGTTTCTTCATCCTCCTGCCCTTCCTCGCCTCCCTTATCAGAGACTTTATCCTTTGAATTGGCATCATCAGCCTCCTCCGTCTTTTCCTTCTCCTGACTCTCTAATTTCTCCTTCGCCTTGTCCGCAACGTCCTGGATCGGTTTACGCGTCACGACGCTCACATCGGACGAGTTCAGCAAGATCTTGCAGCCATCATACACACTCAGATTCGCCAGCAACATCCCTTTTGCTCCACCTTCATCAAAAGACTGGGACATCTTGTGGAACAGCGGGTCTGCTTCACATTCAGTATCGTAAGCCTTCAAGTTGATGTTGTTCAAGTTCTTCTCGATCGTGCGTGCATGAGTCTTCCTCGTCTTGCGTGCAGTAGTCGCAGTGCCTCCTTCTTCACCGGCGTCGTCCACGCCATGCTTCTGCTCGGTACGTGACAAGTTCTCTAGAATTTTGTATGACGAATTCCACGTGTCGTCCACTCGGTACGAGTAGATTTTAATACTCGCGTCCAGTGTGCAGCTCGCCTTCTGGAAATTGTACGTGTCGTCGTCAGCATCTCCGTCCGCAGCGATTCTTTTAGAGGAGTCCAGAATGTCCTCCATGTGGTCGATTAAATGCAGCGACCACGAGTTCTTGACGTTAATTTTCTGTCATCATAACAAGCAGCGAGTCGTCAGCTTTCTGCAGTAATTTTTATCCTCTCACAATATTTTTTTCTTACGTTTTCCGAGGACATCTTGATAATGGTCGAGTACATGTCACTAATGTACTGTTTACTGTGTGTCGGGGCTGCATTCGCCCCTCCCACACCAGCTCTCTTCTCGCTAGGCGTTAGAGAGCGTCGACGCTGCTGGAAGGCCAGCGAGCGGCGCTTTCGACGACGACGGGCGATCTCTTCTTCGTCATTTTGGGACAGTGAGCGCTTACGCTTCCCTGTAGCGCGCTTGGTCGAGTCTGACGGCTGTTGCGTCTTCTCCTCTTGCTCTTCCTCGTCTTCTGTGAGCTCGTACTGCTCCACGTCGCTCTCAGCGTCGCTCTTGGACTCACCGCCTGTCGTCCCCATAGTGACGCACTAGTGCAATTTTTGATTTGGCGCGGATTTTTACCTGTTTTCCGGTTGACTTGGTTTGAGTAAGGGATTAATTTTAAATATAGGTGTAGGGTAAATGAGGAATAGTTGCCATTTTGAACGTGTAGCCACTTTCTACTAAGTTGCCTTTTTCGATTGCCAACATCATGAAGCGACTTGAAGCGATGGAGCATTTCCGACGGAAGATCGACGAGAACCCCATGGACGCCAATGCACACCATCACTTGGCAGTGTTGGCGAGAGCTGGAGGTGATGCGGAGACCCATGCGAGACATTCGCGCATTGCATGGCTCACTCGACAGGAAAACCCCGAGATCATGAACGAGTTAGCACTTGCTCGAATGCAAGAAGGGAAACACGAAGAAACCGAGGCGCTACTGCGTCAAACGATAGAGCGTTGGCCTACGTTTCCCCACGCGTATTGTAATTTGGCTGCATTGCTGGCCAAACGGGGTAAGTACACCGAGGCATTGACTCATAGTTTGACGGCGCTACAGTTGTCTCCACACGACCCAAGTCTTCACCGGAACATTGCCAGGGTGTACGAACAGCTAGGCCGGACGTCCGAAGCGCTGACACATTTCCAGCACGCATTAAGCTTAGCACCGGACGACGCTGGAGTAGCTAAACGGATATCAATGCTTTCTCTCGGCCGAGGACGAACGGAAGTCGCTACCGAACACTATAGTCGGTATCGAGACCTCACAGGACAGCACTACGACCTCAAACTCTGAGATGTTTGACAACAGACCTTGAGTCGGGTTCTCTGCTACTTGCAGTGCAAGGGATCTTTGCTCCGTTGCGTTCAGAAATCAACTCAGTTCGCTGACCAGAATTTACACTATCTTTCGTCTTCTCTAAAAAAAAAAAAACTGGATTCCTCTGTATGGAATTTGTCAAATTATTAAAATATCTTGCACGAAGGAGATCAGCTAGCTCGAGTTGCACCTGACTTCGGTGACTAATGCACTTGACGTTGCCACTTCTCCCTATCTCCGGCCAACGAAATGTTGGAAGGTGGTGTTGAAAAAATCTCCTGTTAGAGAACTCTATAGTAGATGTTCGATAGGATATTTTCGGAGAAGAAGTACTGCATTGTCTGGGTTTCCAGATGGAAGTATGAATATAGGTATGTCTGGGTTCCTCGAGCCTTACCGAAGTATCTACTGCTTTTCGAAGTGGTGAGAGATGACATCTGCCAAATCTTCCCCTGTTTTCTGTGTTCTATTGCTGGCAACGTAGACCTCGTACAAGAGCTGGTTTACGAAGACCTGTCCCCAGCTTCAGAGGCTCAAAAGACAATCGAGGAACCAGCTCTGACCTGACCCTATTCAAAGTCCAAAGTCGACAGGCTTCCATCTCGCCGCTCTCACTCTTCACTCTCTATCGCGTCGCAAACCTCTCCATCTGGCTGGCTGGCTTCCGGTGTTACACAAGCCTCGAACAACAAGCTCTTCCCAGTCGCCATGAAGCGCTCGTTCCAGCACGTGTCACCAGCCAAGTCCGACGTCGATGAAAGCGAGCCCGTTGCTAGCACTGCGGTCGCCTCCAGCCACGATACCAACCTCTTCGGACGGGCACGGAAGCACAGGGTGTTGTGCCGCTCGAAACCATCGACTCTCGAAGTGCACCCAACACTAAATACTGGCCACCTCGCGTTTTCGAGGATGTCGCCGCTTGCTGCTCCTCGGAAATGTGGCGACTTGGAGGCTAACATCAAGGAGGAGGCGTTGCTGTGTCTGGTGCTCTCGTTCCTCAACGTACGTGATCACCAGACTATTCGACAGACCAGCCGATCATGGCGACGACGTTTGCAAACTTTGGACTTGGATCGACTCGACTTGTCAGCGAAAACGTCACCCGTATGCACCCGTACACTGGACCGTGCATGCCAAGGAGTATTGCAGAGCTACAGTCGCGTTCGTCGCCTTGATCTATCGGGCCAACGTTCCCTTACCGACCGAGATCTGCTCGTATTAACGTCAAGCTTTTGGGCACACTTAGAAGAGATCGTCGCAGATGACTGTCTGGAGATTTCGGATTTTGGGTTACTCGCCGTTCTCAATGCTCAATCGCTTCGGTTGCGCTCGGTATCGGTGCGTCGATGCAAGCGAGTGACTGGTGAACTGTTTGCTGCTCAAACCTCACCACTGAAGCAGCTCACAGGATCACACCCCTCTCTGACGAGTCTCAATCTGGACGACACGAGTGTGAGTCGTGACTTTATCTCACGCGTTGAAGCTCAATTCCCAACGCTCCAGAGTTTGAATGCTTTGCACACACCAGCCCACCGATCGTTTTTCCAGCAGAACCCGACGTTAAATGCGCTGCTGCGTGAACTGCAGTTACTGGTGAGCAACGAGCTCGTTGACTTACCGTTGCTGCCTGCTCTTCTTGATGAATTTAACCGGTGGTGCAGTGGCCGGCGAGGACGGGAAGGTGGAGTCTTCGAACGTACTTTGGTTGCCAGTGGAGCACGTGCTTTGCTAGACGTTCCATTGCTTCTCACTGGTAGTGATGACTCCAACGTTGACAGCCCTAGTGAAGCGGAAGACGGCGTGGCTTTGATGTCACCACTGCTGTACGCGTGTGCCAGGGGAAGGACACGTCTCCTACCAGTTATTCTGGCAGCAGGCAACGGTACTGCGTTCGACTTGGAGAATACAGACATCGACGGTCACTCGCCATTGAGTCTTGCAGTCGCCAACGGGCTTACGGAAGCCACCCGACTGCTAGTGCGAGCTGGGTGTGACGTTAACACTCGTTCACTGAGTTTAGAATCTCCGCTCTACCTGGCCTGTGAACACGGCTGGGATGTTCTGGTGGACATGTTGCTTGATGCAAACGCTCAAAGGGACTGTGCTGTGGCCGGTGGTGCGACGGCTTTGTGTGCTGCCGCCAAGAACGGCCACCGGTCGACCGTATTGAGACTTCTTGCAGCTGAGCGACAGGCTGAAGATGAAGCACAAGTTCGAGGTCGCATGGCTAAGCGGCAACTGGTTCAAGCTTTATTCCTGGCTTGCGAAGGTGGCCACTTGTTCGTGGTCTCTGATCTCCTACTGCTCACCGAATTGGACGCCAACGTTCTCATGGATGAGAACGTATCGCCGCTCTATTTGGCGTGTCAAATGGGGTATGAAGCCATCGTTTCGCTGCTACTGGAGCGTGGTGCCAATCCCGCTTTCCGCCGTCCGAACGGTGGAGTGTCCTGCCTGTACATCGCTGCTCAGGAGGGACACGACCAGATTGTTCGGCTATTACTGCACGCTGGAGCTGACGCCCATGCCAAGATGGATGACATGTCCACTGCACTGCACATTGCTGCCCGTATGGGACGCAAGGCCGTCTCCCGTACGCTACTGCGTTATGGAGCTCGTCTAGATGACCAGACTCGCTCCGGATTAACGGCGTTGTACATTGCAAGCGAGGAAGGTCACGCCAAGCTGGTTGAGTTTCTACTGGAGGTTGGAGCTGCTCGTGACATCCAGACAGTTAGTGGCGCGACGGCACTTTTCGCTGCTGCGCACCGCGGTCACTATACCGTGGTGGAAGCTCTGCTACTTGGTGGTGCGAGCGCCACAGTCTCCAAGCACAACGGTATGAGTCCTTTGGATGCTGCAACGCTAGTAGGCGACATCAAAATTGCTAAGTTACTGCTACGCTTCGGTGCGCGCGTGGGAGGATTGGCTCTACACCTTGCAGAGCGTCGACGGGATGCCAGCGATCTCCAAAATATGCTGCGCACTCGTTACTACACTCAGCACTTCGCACAGGGTGTCACGTCCAATGTGACTAGCATTCCGCCTACTCCAGCTCCCACTTCGACCACAGCGTCGGAGAACGAGACCACCCGGGTCCGTTAGAAGTATCAGCGTTTTCACGCTGAGGTACATTAGCAATAGAAAAGCATAGTTTATCGTAACATTTGAAAATGCTGTAACTTTTTGTACTTTTCGCCAAATCACTCAAGACCTTATGCACTGTGAGTAGACACAACAGTGTGCTGTTCATCCTTCGCCTTCGGAATAGACTCCTTCGACTTGCCGAATTTGCCATCGATTTTGTCGGCCATATGATGCACAGCCTCCTTTGCGCGAGCCGTGATTGAAGGTTTCTCGATCATACCAGTAGCAACCTGAACTTCAATAATCTGACGCTGGAGAGGCGCAAAACCTGTGAATTTGGCATCGCGAGTTGTGCTCACGAGCCACTCGAGCTTCTCGGAGATCGTGGGTTTCTTGTCGCTGTGCTTGTAGGGTGTCGGATGCCCTGCATCATACGCGTTTGCTACCTTGTGCAGATCCGCTAGCGCATTGAATGTCTGTTCCATGGCTCTCCGGGCGGAGTTGACTTCATTCTCACCAGCGTTCTTATGGATATGGTCGGCAGCGTGTCTGAGATCCTTCACCGCATCCTTGGCGTGGTCCAGACCGTCATAGAAAAACGACGCGGCCGAGCTCGACAGGTGTAGATGGTGCTTGTGATCGTACTCGCTGAGGTTATGCTTCAGAGCTTCGAGGTACGCCATTGTGTCTTGCGCACTTTGATGCAGTTGTGCCTGAAGCTTGGTGAATTCCTGTTCCGCAAGAGTAGCGGAAGTTTTGCCCATTATTCTCAGTAGTGTTTCGACTTGTGTTCTCTAGTCGGTTATTCGAAATGAGGAGGAGAACCTCGAGCTTGGAATGAACCCACGCAGAATGATACGAAGGATCTTCTCAACTGTCTCACTGCGACGAATTCCACAAAACTACATAGAAATAAATAGCTTATCGAGGATGTTCTCGAATTTGGATGAGCTTGTATGTTGGATGCGATGTCAAAATTTGTAACAAGCAAAACGAGGCGTGAAAGCATTCGACAACGATAATTGAATGTACACTACGTGGTATATGTTATTGTATCGACTGCCAGATTTCGAGTTGCAGTCCCCAATTTATCGTTTTCTCTTCTCAACGACAATTATGGAGCGGGTAGAACAATAAAAAAATATGTAAAAATGTCAGTCGACGAGATACCTCCATATTAAGGCGAAGGGAAGTGAGTAACAGAATGCAATCGGCAGTAAAGACAATGTAGTTAGGCGAAGCATAAAGCGCCCGAATATGTATCTAAGAATTCATGATGGTACTTTAGTATCTCATGATAACATTGAGGCGTAATGAGCTGCCGCAGCCAGTATCTCACTCGAATAATACAGGGTAAGCCACTATTTTCATGGAACAACTTCGACCAACGGACTGTCCTCAAGTTGTGTCCATTTCCAAACCCCACCGCCAGCGCACAAGTGACACCTCAAGCCGCTGGCAACAAAAAGCATCATGGGCAAAGCCACTCCACTCAACGACACAGTTGAGCAGGAATTTGCTAAGCTGGAGCAACTATTGATCCAGACAGCGGACGAAGCTTCCAGCTGTCTCAAAGCTCTGAAGAACAACCTCTCTGAGTATGACAAGCGCCACGGACTACTTTTCCTCAACACGTCCAGGTCGTTCATGAGGTGTGACATTCGTGCTGCAAAGGACAAAGCTGCCGAGTTGAAACATGTTGCCTACCACATTAACAAGAGTGAGAGACCTTCTGAATCGGAGATCACTGCAACACGCAGCAAGATTCACGAGGTCTCCGATGCCATGCTCCATCTCAAACAAACAGCTCGTGCCTATGACAGGAAGAACCACTTGGAGAGCTTGTCGGAGCTCAAAGCGGAGGAACGTCGCTCGAATCCGGAATTCAGCAAGTCGGAGTCTGAAGGCAGCTGGTTCAGTGAAGACACCAGCAGTGACCGCAGCGGCAATGCCATTCGCGGGGCTACTGACCGGGTGGAGATCGTGCTGAAGTCGACTATACGCCACAATTTTAGCGGATTTTCCGCCTTGAAGCATCAGGTTTCGGTGGCGGAAGAAGCCTTGTCGCCATCGATTGTCGATCATGTCATGAACACAATGGCTTCCATGTCGAAGAGTCTGAAGGGAGAGGACAATTTCGAGAAGAAGAGCGTGAACGTGTAGCTACCCTGCAGCTTCAAAGGTGATGCATAGCTTGGAAACAAAAAAACTAAAAGTAATTCTGATTCGCATTGCTTTTCAAAATAACTTCAACTTACGTGTGTAGCCATTTCATTTAATTCACGTGGTCCACACGTTTAGCTAATCACATTCCCGCTTTTTGCTACAAGTGAACATGGCAACTTGGTTCCAGAAGGAGATCGTGCTTTCTGCGCCCAGCCGCGGCTTCCACCGTGCGTCACCCTTGACATTTGTGTCCTAAGCTGTATGTATGAGTTCGTGCTAACCTTTCGTTTAATTTGTTTTTTTAAGTGGTGACCCGCGAGGTCGAGAAGCAGGTTAGCTCTCTTCCAAGTTTTTTCCCCCAGAATTATCGTGCATTCTAACCGTTTTTTTTTCTTTTGCTATTGGTGGATAATAATTATTGCAGCTGCCAGAGTTGTCGCGTGTGAAAGTTGGCATGGCCAATCTGTTCATCAAGCACACGTCTGCGTCGCTCAGTATCAACGAGAACTGTGACCCGGACGTGCGGTGAGTACAGCTTGTTGTTTTTACTCTGCAAGGCAGTTCTGGTAAAATTGTATTTTTATTATTTGCTACAGTACCGACATGGAGGGTGCGTTCAACCGCATCGTACCCGAGTCCTGGAACAAGTAAGATGACATTATTGTCGACTTGCCAGTGCGGAGATATTCTGTTTTCTCACCAAGTCTTCCTTGTAATTAATCCAAGGGAGTTTTTCCGTCACACGGATGAAGGCGATGGTGAGTGAAGTCTTTTTTTCTGTGGTTATTTGGCTGTGAGACGTAATTTTTTTTCTATATGCTGGTGCAGACGACATGCCTGGACACATTAAATCGACTCTAATTGGTGCGTCAGTGAACATCCCGATCACAAACGGCAAATTCAACCTTGGAACGTGGCAAGGTAAGATATTTGGCGAACCCCTTGATATTATGTCGGAGTAGTATATGATGTCCACGTTTTTGACTGGTGAACTATTGTGCTATGCTACTTCTCATAGGCATCTATTTGTGCGAGCACCGCAACGTTGGCGGCTGGGGCTCTGGCCACCAGCGTAAAGTGGTTGTCACCATCCAGGGCTCCACGGCTTAAATCGCTGCTACTCATGGGCAAGTATAAACTCGACCCTTGTGGCTCGGTCAAGCTGGCTTAAATGAACCAACTTCCAAGAGATGCTGTAAATCAATGGTACACGTACAGCATTATTTCACCGCCATCGAAAGTGCTTTCTTATTGCATTATTGCTAAAAATTCAAGGAAATGTATTGTACTGTACACTTATCATCTCTGCTGGGCATCACCACTGAAGCAAATGGGATTCTTGCGAAAAACCCGGTTCTTTACGCCCACGTAGCAATTCCAGTTTTATTCGCCGCGTCGCACGAGTCAAGCAGGCGCTGTGATTTCGCTGTGGCGTCAAGATGCTCGTCAAAGCAATAGATACTATGCCACGGTGGACAGGCATCTGGAATAAGCTGCAAGTTGTAGCACGCGCAAGCACTAAACACAGGCAGATATTTCCTCGATCGATCGATCGGAATCTTCATACCTTGAGGGACTCCATTACGCACAAACAACAGAAACCCAGCAAGCAGGTCGACCACGACACCAACTCGATCCTCTTCCTTGAATGTATCAGCATCCAGAAAACTCACTCGTGCAGGGAGTTGCGGCTTAGGTCCTCGGAACGAACCCGTTGTGATAAACCCACCTTCGCAATACATCACTGCCGGCATGTGGTCACATGCTGGTGTTGGTAGCGACAGAGTCCGCTTTAAATGTTGCGCATCCACCCCATAGTATCGGAATCCAGCCTGATTCTGTGTAACCACCTCTGTGACGCCGATGTAGCTGCCCTCACTGAGTCCCACACATTCCCAGTAGCTCACTGCCCCTGGTGCACACACCCGATCGCCAAACATGGAACCTCCGTTGGGCCCCCAATGTGACACATAACAGTCACCATTCTCCACCAAGTACACGTCGCCTCCATGTCTTCTAGCGTCAAAGTGTAGGTCAAACTCATCTACAAAGCGTTGTATTAGTCAGATGAAAAATACAAATATTGTAACAAATACTTACACGATGCAACTGCATGCAGTTGCCTCAGCAGCGGCAGCACAATTGCAAGTTGCAGCGATTCGGCGTGAGGTGATGGGGTCGAGATTTTCACATTGGATAGCAGTCCACGAGTGCGACTTTTGAGCCAGAACCAAATGCAGGCGCAGCCATCGCTTCCGATTGATTTTTGGGTACATACAAGCGTCGCTATCTCGCGAGCGTCCAGGAAATCGAGCAGTGGAGCCAACGCCGCCAAAGTGAAGGTCGTGGACAATGCTGGAAGCTGCTTGGCTGGCGACATCTCGTCGATGATTCAGAAAGTCGCAATGACAGTTCAGTGGCAACTTTGACAGTACGTCATTGTCAACTATGGTTGGCTCAAAAATTACCAAAATTTTTGATTCGCTGAAAACGCTCTTCCAATTTTTTTTTTCATGACAATTAAAACTTTTCAAATGCTGAAGGCTCAACTCTTGGCATTGGTGCCGCTGAGCCTACTGCTCGGCGTACCTTTGGGGATACTGAAGGAGAGGCTGCGGAAACACTCCTTCAAGCGCTGGCTGCTTGCACTTGTACCCCTTGCCCTTGCACCATTGGTACGTGCAAAATATTTGAGCTGGAGTATCTGTGGGTCACCTTTAACTAACTTGGTCATTTATTGCAACGCGAAATCTAATGCAACTAGTTATCGGCTCGTGATGGTGCTGTACTAGCGGGAAGCTATTTGGTTGGACGGGTGTTGGGTGCGTCGTTGGTTGGCGTGGGGCTCACGGGAGGCATCGCCACTGGCAAATCTACTGTATCTAACGCTTTCCGCGAGGCTGGGGCTGTGATCGTGGACGCTGATGTCATGGCTAGAGAGATAGTGATGCCTGGACGCGGCGCCTATAAGGAGATCGTGCGCTGCTTTGGGACTGAGGTGCTCAATGAAGACGACGCGACCATCAACCGCGCGAAGTTGGGAGCAATCATCTTCAGTGACCCGACGCAGCGGAAGAAACTCAACTCCGCAACGCACAAATACATTATCTGGGAGATGTTCAAGCAGCTCGTGTACCAGCGTCTGGTGTGCCGCAAGCGTCTAGTAGTGTTCGACGCGCCGCTGCTGTTCGAGACCAAATTGCTCGAGTATTTCTGCTACCCGACGATTGTGGTGGCATGCTCCGAGAAGAACGAGCTTGAGCGACTCATGAAACGCGACAATATGAAACAGGAGGGCGCCGAAAAGCGCATCAAGTCACAGATGAGTCTCCGTGTATGTGGGCTAAACAATTACGAGAGAACTCGAACCTAGAACTGATCTTTGTATTTTGTATTGATTCGAGCAGGAAAAGGTGGTGAAGGCGGACCTGGTGATTCAGAACGACGGCTCACTGGATGATCTACTGATCCGTACGCGAGAAACTCTCGAGCGTACTGCCTATTTGGTTGGAGCCTCGAGCGAACTGCAGTTTGCCAAAAATTTGCAATAAAATGTTCGACTCAAAAATTCCGTTTCAATTTTTGCACAAATGCATTTTTTTTCTTTACGGATCTGCTCAATAATCGAGACGATGCCTCGCAAGGGTGTGTCCTTGCAGGAGAAGCGTGAGCGCATCCTGCGCATCTACCACGAATCCAAAGAAGTGTTTAACCTCAAGGAGGTGGAGAAGCTCGGCTCCAAAGCTGGCGTCGGTACGGGCCTCGCAATGAACCAGCTCGAATTGTTCTAACCTTTTAATTAATTATTGCATTTTTGCAGTGTTGCAGACGGTCAAAGATGTGAATCAAGCGCTGGTGGACGATGCCTTGGTGGACTGTGACAAGGTGCTGACTTCATTGGCAGGACGTCTACTATTGCATTATTATTTGCTGATAGAGTATTGCGGTGTTAGATTGGATCGGGCAACTACTTTTGGTCGTTCCCGTCCAAGCTGTCGCAGTCGAGGAAGCGCAAACTCAGCGAACTGGAGCAACGTCGGCACACTGCGCAGGAGAAACTGGCCAAAGTGCAGCAAAACATTGAAGAACAGAAGTCACTACGCTCGGATTCGGTGCGGACAAATATTTCACGTGGAAACTTTGGTGGTGTTTTGATGGAGTGGATTATCTGTGAACAGGACGAGCGTGTGCAGAAATTGCGTCGACTGGAAGAGCAGAAAGCCAAGGTGAACGGACTGCGCACCAAAGTGCAGCACCTGGCAGAGAACGACCCTGCGATCCTGGAAGAACTGGAGCGCAAAGTCCGCATGGCGAAGGAAGGCTCCGACCGATGGACAGGTATTTGCTTTGTGTCCTATTCTACGAAGTACTAAGTAGAGTACACTGACGTTGTGCGTTGTAGACAACGTGTACACTCTCAAGTCATGGGTCGTGAAGAAGCGTGGTGTCGAGGGCAAAGAGGTGGACAAGTGGCTGGGAATCAAGGACGATTTCGACTACGTCGAGTAAGAAATGGCAGAACGAAGGAATGAAAGATACCATTATTGCCCTCGACTACTTATTGCTATTGAAACCAAAATGATGTTGTATGCGTTTACCAGTTGAAAACCTCCTTGTGGAAGTCGAAGTTGCAGTTGCGAGCAAGTGCCTGGGCCTCGACCGTCATGGTCGGGGGACCGCAAGCCACCACCGTCACCTTCCTGCCGTTAAAGCGACTTGTGTTGATCAGCTCATCGAGAATGGGCTGGCCACCGCGGTACGACAACGTCTCGCCGTTCGCACGGGTAACCACACCATCAGTGCGAGCGTTCGACACATGGAACATCCAGTTAATGTTAACTGGAGCCGGCGCATTGTTGCCGAGGATGGCCATGTTGGGGTCCTGAATACTGGCACGGGCCGCGTAGTCCAGCTGAGCGTGGGTCGGCAAGAACTGCTCCATCATCAAGATATCTTCGGGCTCGCGTACGGACCACAGCACATACCAGTCCGAAGCCTTGGGAGCCTTGTCCGAATCGCCCGTAGCAGTCGGGAACAAGCGCGTCTGGTTGATAAGACTCATCATCGGAGTGATACCAACACCGCCAGCAACCAGCACAACAGCGTCGTAGCTGTCCACATTGAGTGACATCTTACCGAACGGGCCACACAGGTTCGCAGTGAAATCGTACTGCGTACCAGCCTTCTCCAGTAGTTTACGCGTGAACGAGCCATTGCCCATAGCCTTGATAGTGAAACCCAGCGACTTACCGTCCGGAGTCACAATAGACGAGAACGGGTGCCATTGCGTGGCCGAGATGGCCGGTAGACGCACGAGGAAGTACGAGCCAGGGTTGACGTTCATGGCCATCTTGCCAGTCTTTGGGGTGGATTCCAGGACAAGTGTAGTCGAGTTCGAGCCGGAGTGTACGATCGCAGAAGCCTTGTATGAACCGGTGAAGGCGCTGGACCAACGATACAGCAGACCGAGAGCGTACAGTCCAAGAGGAACACAAAGAGCGAGGCCGATAAACTTGGGGGCGTGTAGAATAGTGAAGACGAAGCCCACAATGGACAATACGCGGTGTGTGAAGTAGAAAACCTCGAAGAACATGCGACGGATGTACTCGATCGACAGGAACAGCATCGCGATGAAGCAGATGAACGCCACGAAGCCAGGCAGAGGCGTCACTTCGCCGTACTTCTCGTTAAGTGTGAGGTCCACAACGTCACTGGCCTGCACGACGTGGACGATCACTGCGACGTTCATAATGAGGCCGAGCCAGCGGTGGAACTTGACAATACGCTCGAACGAACTGCCGAAGAGAACCGACCACACGGGCAGGCGGGCCACGGGGAGGATGAGGAACATGAGGATCAGCAGACTCACTTGGCCCGACACGACGTAGTTCTGCTCGTCGCTTAGTAGAGCGATGAGTACAATCACGGCCGCAACGAAAATGAGCATAACCAGCAGCTCGCCGAGGTGGAGATCGGCCAGTGTTTGCATGAACATAGTGTGAGGCTTGGCCACCGGCGCGTTGGTCGTCATCTTGACCGGAGGCGGGGCCACCGTGCGGTGCAGCAGGATCTTACCGACGGGCGAAGACTTGAGGGCCGCAGTAAGCAGCAGGCCGCACACGGCCATAGTGGCAAAGGCGACGCCGCCGACGATACCCGGGCAGTTCTTATCGTCGCACCAGGGCGTGGACGTACTGGAGCTGACGGTCGTGCTGGCACCCGCATTGGAGCCCGTGGCCGTGGCCGCGGCCGCGACGTTGAAGGTGGCGACGCCGTTAGTGCCACTTCTGTGCGTGGAAATGGGCCACGAGGTGCCGTAGGCCCAGATAAAGTCTGTGGAGCCCGTGGCCGAGATGGCTACATCCGAACTGGAAGCGGCCGCCAAAGTGCGCTGGAAGCTGAAGCTCATGCTGGTGGTGCTGGCCGAGCCCACCACGAAGGAGGACAGATCGCTCTCCTCCGTCACGTCGCTGTTAACGTAGCCGCCCAGCACGTAGGACGTCGGGGTGCCGCTGTCCTTGAAGAACATCATGACATTGGCGGCCGGACTGCTCACCATGCTGGAGCCACGCGATGGCCCGACGCCAAACCACGTGGCCGAGCTGGCCACGGACGCTTCAAGCTGGTATTCGACGCAGACTTCGTCGCCCTGCACCAAGGCGCGCACGAAGATGGGACTGTCGCCCAGGCGCGTGCCCGAAAGAGCTTGGAACGCGGCACTGGAGCAGATGCTGGAGTTGGAGACGGCGGCGCTGGCCATGTTGGCGCTGGTGGCTGCTAAAGCGGTGGCCAAGAGCGGCAGGAATGAACGGGCCATGACTGAGATGCGAAGGATTCGGCCAATTCGACAATTGCTGCAGTAGGAGAAATTCCTAGTCGATGGATGGACACGACTGAGACTGTCTGAGTTTGACCTGTTTGAGCCGCTGCAAAATGAAAACTGAGTGAAAACGGAGAGGAGGAAACCGATTCGAGACCACCTGCTTTGCTTCCGTCGATTGAGAGGAGTTCTGCTTCGACCATAATCCTCGGTGGTACAGCCGATTAGTCCCGTAGTATGCGGAGTGTGTGGTTGCATTACCATATATGGTATACGTATTGATAGAGGTTCTTCAACATTGGTCAGATATTGGCATTTATATTTACATACAGATCGACTTATAAAGGGTAACGAGTTGCAGCGTTTTATTCCAATCGTCACGACACTTTGTACTGTACGTATATATCGTTTTTACTGGCGACGGAGCGGTTGTCTTGGTTCATTCTAAACGCGTTGAACATGTTCGTTAGTTCGGTGACTATATAAAGTTAGCGGCAAACTACCATATTCGGCATGGTATCACCCCATGGGTGAGCCCCGTTGGACACGTTAGCATTTGATGTTCGAACGCACACAGCTCCCATTTCGGCAAATCCTCAGCCCATGTCAAACCGCGATACATGTGTACAAAACTCATGTCATCAACTGGGCAGTGTGGCGGCATTTCGCAGCGAGCATAGAGCGGTGGGGCCGCTGGATGTTCTCGTCGAGTTGCAGCGGCACTGGGTGTTTACAGCAGAACTGCCAAATTCTGATGAGACCAAAGGGCGGTACGAAACTGGCGGCGTGTTTGACACTGAAAGCGGTGTCGCTGGAGTGGACACACCCGTAGACAGTGAGTCAAGTGAGTCGCCTCACACATTTGTATGTGTCTGGTGATCCAAGTTGGCGTGAAGTTAGTAACTCCGTCGCACCCCCGCTATTTCTTGCTGTTCGAACACTATAAGTAGAAGACAAATATGCCGACAGCTCAAATGCACATACAGCACGATGTGTCCGTCGCGCCTTCGACTGGTCACATGCTTCTCGTCAGCGACGGCGTTGGACACTCTCACCGAAGTCGATTTTGGTGGTACCCAGTTTAGTGACGCAATGGTTTCGCGTTGAAGACACTCCCATCGCATGATACTGATTGACGACCAATCAAGATCGCTAAGTTCACGATCCGCTCTCGTCGTGTCGAAAGGTGAACATTGCAATTATGTAAAAAAAAAAACGCCCTAGACACACTTTTGAAGTGCCCATAACTTAAAGCGGTACTCATACTCCAGGATCATTAATCATGACCACCCTAGCAATTCACTAGCCTCAAACGAAATCTGGAATCGACGCAAAAACATAAAATTCATTCGCTGCTACAAGATTAGATGCGACGCTCGCTGACACATCCAGGGTCAGAACGTATTTACATTCGAAAAAGATGTGGAGTTGATCACAGTAAGCGTAGAGCTTGCATTATTTGCCGAAGTTGACTTCAAGTTGCTGTGCCCATTTTACATCAAACAGGATTGGACTCTCAATGCCCAATTCTGAAATATTGGGCATTACTTTAAAAATTAAATGCCCATTCCTGAACATTGCTGCTGCCGCCGCGCGCCACACGATCTCAAATCGCCGCAGGCATGTGTCGCCTATCGACGCTGTCGCAGTTTGTCTTGATTCGTAAGCCATTTTGCTCGATTACGAAACAGCAAGTTGATGCCAAGCTTATCGAAACGGGTGAACACATTCCTTTTTTCATCGGAGACTTTTTATTAATGCTCTTGCTCTTATTAAGCGGTCTCCTTTTTGTTTTGTATTTTTTTGTTAATAGAAGCTTTGAAGACGCGGCTTGTTGCACAGGCACTTTACTGTCTAAGCTTGTTGGTCTGCAGATTCAGTGATTTTTTAGGTTGTGTTTACCGGACAATTTTGCCAGCCGAAGCCGTCGCATCATCCTTTAACCTTCATGCCGTCCCCGTTCTGGTAAGCAAACTCTCTCGCCACCTCAACGTCATGAAGTTGCTGCGCCAAACTATCATCGAAGTCCGGGAACGCTCCGTCGCATCACCCAGACCTGGTGAAGCTTAATTATCCCGTAGTCGAGCTTGTCTGTATGCTTTATTCGCTGCGTTCGTCCCCGGTATTGACAATACCGTATTGTTCGTTGTGACTGTTTCTCGGCTAGAAAACGCGCTAATTACTCGGAGGCAGGGCCGAGACTCGCAAACAAATGGCTGCCACTTTTGAATACCACAGGTACAGTAGTACTATGTCATTGACTTACAACCATCTTTAGAGGATACAGTAACGATTCCTATGCGTTTCCATGCTTAAGGCAAAATCTTTACGTAACGTATTGGCAAGTACTCTACATTTTTGTTTTGTTCACATATAAAACCAACAGCTTTCACAGTTTCGAGCAACTCGAATCGAGATCCAAATTGATATTTGCACAACCCAGGAACACGTACGAATAGGTAGGCTTGACATTAGCCTGGTTAGCATGCTTCGCCGTTCTCGGAAGCATGAGTCACGTTCGATGATGGCAGTGCCATCATCGACCGTGACTCATGCTCCATAATGGCACCAAGCTAATCCGATTGTGGTCTTCGTCTCACATGTCGACTGAGAATCCACTCGGACTACACGCGGATACTGTACCAGCGTGACAAATCATCAGTTGCGCGGAGCTCTGCGCATCTCGTAGATTGCCAGGGTGGCCATGGTTGCGAGGACACACAGGGTTGCAGCAGCTACGGGGATCGCTAGACTTGAAGCTACAGTCGACAAAAAGCTGGGTTTTACTTCAGCTTTATCCTGGGAAGGCCGGTGCTCATGCTCTTGCTTCGTTTGGTCTGCAGATTGGGTAGACGCCTGACGACGCCGGGTTGATGCACTCTTGGTGCCTCTCATGCGCTTGCTGCTGCTTCGACGCATGGTGGAGCGAGATGGCGGTGGTGGTGACCGCGATTCGTTGCTAGTTGTGTCTTGGTAATGATTTTCTTGCTGCTGGCGCTTGCTCCTAAAGCTACCATTCAAAGAGGATGAACTGCGCTGCTTGGCCCGTAGCTTTGACTTTCGCGACGCGGATCTGGTACTGGAGCTAGCTTGACTAATCGCACTGTGAGTTGGAGAAGTGAGTGACCGCTGCGATCGTCGGTGTCCACTTGGGACCCGCTTAATCGGCCTGGATATTAGCGTCGGGTGGTCCGGTTTGCTTGGCGGTGGAATACCTTCACTACTGGATGGGATCATTGGAACGGGTACTAATGGGCCTGCACCACCAGACATTGGAGGAGACGCCACGCTAGTCATTCGATCCTCGTGGTGATAGCTGTATCGAGGCGGTGATGGGATAGACCAGTCACCTCCTTCGCCCTCAGCGTCAATATATTCGGCGTCTTGTTCCTCCACTTCGAGCAGACTTGGCACGGACGATGAAGTTCGTGATCGAAGAGCAAGCGACTCCAAGGCTGAGTCTTGTCCCCATGACATTCCAGAAGCATCGTGTAGCATTTGATTCTCGTCGCTGCTGCTGCTGATATCGCCATCGCTTGAGAATCTATCATCTTCCTCCGATGAGGCACGCTCCGACTCGGGTGGCCAGGCCTTTGCTCGAATATCTTCGACCAGTCTCGGATTAACCTGAAGCTCCTGTTTAGTCAGGATAAACTGATACAACCCCGTTAGTAGAGGTACCTTATAAAACAGGGTCAAATTGCTACGTACCTCAATGTCGCTGAAGAGAATATCGCGGTAGAGCACCATAACCTGCAACAGGTTAATCGCAACGGTATCCTGCCTTTCACTTTTCCGTGCCGTCTTATGACATCAAAACGCGGTTAATGGTGTCCTAAAATCAGGATAAGATATCTACTAACTCACCATGCTTTCGAATTCGGACGACTCACTAAAGACGTGGTGATGTTTATCTGCGATCGTCTTTAGCAGTGGTTGTGCCTCACTGCTGACGAGTGCAATGAGATCCCACAACGCAAACAAGCGCAGCAGACAATGCCGCACCTCGCGCTCGAGTAGATCCAAGATGCCGCGAATTGTCATCAACGTCGTGAGAGCGGGCGGAACAGCCAGACTCTCACGCAACAACATCTTCCTCTGTCGCGTGTAGAGCTCTAATGGCACCAATGGACCCATAAGGTTGCGAAAACTCACTTCAAGTAGCTCGTTGAGGACACCTAGTTGATCCGCAGTGGAGTTCGTATCGATACTCGACGTAAGGAGGTCTCTAGGACTCAAGACTTCGGTATCTTCCGGTCCATTGTTGTCTTTGGAGTTTGATGAAAAACCCTGCCACTCGCCCCGTTCCTTCTGCACATTTTCAAGCAGCGAGACGTACAGCATCTTGGCCTGGCGGGTGACTGTACTGTTTCGCGCGGTCTCGTCGTAGTGGCCACAGCGGTCGATCACTGTGAAGAGCACGGAAGTTACAGTGCCCACCGCCTGCGCGCAGGATCCATACACGGCGCTGCGCTGCATCTGCTGCGTCTGCTTCGGTCTCCTACTCGACCGTAGTTGTGGCTCGATTTCTGGTGACTCCTTTGGCTCCACTGAGTCGGAGGGAGGCGACTGTGATGGCCGCCGGAAATAGTTGCGGATACCAAAGCCCGCCGAAGAAGTCGCGGCCATTTAACAGCGGAGAAGGTGTGTGGAACTCAGCAACGCTTACAATAACGCAGACTGCTTTTCTCAACTAAGATTGCAATTCCGGCACAGGGTGGCGCGATCTACGGAGCGGCGAAAAATAGAAAAGAATGCCAAACGTTGCATGATCCGAATGGGCTTGTTCAACTTAAGGCTAGAATTAAAGGCGAAGCCTAATAGGTAAAGCTCGTTTCACCCGTGGGTAAGCTTCAGCAATTGAAGTGAGAATCGTGAAATTTGCAAGACGGCAACCATGTACATGTACATTATTTACATATAGGCTTCATGTATGCCATCATTGTAGCTCTTTAGACGAAGGATTTGGAACCATTGCAATAACAACTGTAAATAAACTTGGCTATACTTAACGTCGTCGCAGGAATAATTCTCATGTAAGTTTCAACGATTTCCAATAGTTCGTCTCTAGACTTGACAGTGCTCGCACAGAGCTCACCAAAATGTTGCTTTGTTTGTTGATCGAGGTGCTGATACATAGCGTGGCGGCAAGCACATTCCGATGGTCGTCGTTGCTGTGAGTTAGTTAGATCTCACTCGGTAGTCATGCAATCGAGCAGCAAAAGACTACGAGGAAGCGATTACTGATACAAACGAGCAACTAGATACGTCAGAATGAGAAACTTTTTACATATCTTGACGTTAGTTCGAAATACACATCGCCTAGTAATGCAACATGGTCGACTACTTCGCCTTCTTAGCAAAAAAAACATGGTACTCGCTATCAAGGTCACACTTAGCCCGTTAGAAGAGTCACGAGGTCACACGACGAGTTGAGGTCGATGCGTCTTGTGCTGTCCGTGTAGATGATGCTCATGTTCATAACAGCCAGCGCATCCTTGAACAACGTGTAATCCGTGGCGTACGAACTCTCGCCAGTGATGAAGTACTGCACATAGTTATCAATCAGGGCCGTGACCATCTTGACCATGTTCGAGTGGTTGTCAACGTCCACGAACAGTCTGAAGGTCTGCTGGCTCATGCCACGAGGGACACCAACCTCAGGAGTCATACCAGACAAGTAGCCCAGGTAGTCCTGCTCCACATACAGCGTCAGATTAAGGTATCCAATGCCATTGAGTCCCATCTGCGAGACGTTGGTCACATTGACGTCAATGTCCATGGTCCAGCCCTCATCTGTGCAGCCCCAGAAGTCAATGTGGTCGATGACAGTCAACGGATCGCGGAAGTTGTTGAAGCCCTCGATCGACAGCTCACGTTTGAAGTCCAGGCCGCCGTAGCTGAAGCCCAAAGCGTGAGCTTTGACCTTTGCAGTCGTGTCAAAGACAACCGAGACGTCGTCCATGACTGCGGTAGACATGGAGGAGAACACGTCGGCGTCCGTGACGATCAGGTCGCTGGTGATGTTGAGATCGTAGGATTGCTCGCCCTTGTCGATCGTCAGTGCGGGGAACTCAAAGGTGGCGAACGTCGAGCCATCGTACAGCAGCTTAGCCGTAGTGGCATCCGAGCGAGCGTTCATGCTCAGATCGTGCGTCATACGCAGGCTGAGCTCACTGGAGAGCTTCGTTTGGTCTGAGATCTGGTTGATATCGAGGTAGTTGACGCTCATTTTGATTTTGTTGACGTTGTGCTGGAAAACGGCCTTGACGATCACGAACCACGCGATGATGATAAGCACGGCCAGTACGACTAACACAATGCCCAGGATGGCAAAGATGCGCTGCTTCTTGGTGATGCGCCACCACAAGAACTTCTTGAGCGGCTTGCCCTTCTCGTTCTCCTCCTTCAAGACATCGTGGCTGTTGGCTGCCACGTCTACTTTGAAGGTGGAGTCGGGTTGGTACTGGTAATGGTCATAGTCTCCAACGTTGTGTGCTGGGCTCTGGATCGTGTCGACCACGGGCGTCTTGATCTCCTGTTGATGTGTCGCCATAGCGGGGAGTTTGGACTTGAGACCAAGGTGGCAGGTTGGCGAATGAAGCTTGACAGTGGCCACTGACCTGATTGCAGCCAAAAAGCTATCGCCGGCGGGAACCTGCACCTTTGGCACTGATACAGTGGTGCGCTTCTTCCTCACGGCGGGTTTTCCGTGGTCGGTTTTGACTTGAGATGAGTATGGAGCACCTGCCATCAACATCGTGTCACTCTGGAGAGGATGGGCCCAATAACTTCAACTAGAAAAATACAAACGGTGATGTTCGCGTTCCAAGGCTTTTGCTTTACGTTTTGCTTTCTGCTTTTGCGCTGACGAAGGGACTGGTCCGTGTTAGTTAGTACATGTCATGTACACTCCAAGAAGGATAAGACGCGATGTCTTGTTGGACAACGCTAGAAGATCGATCCATCCCTTGACGAATGCATGCGTGTCAAACAGTCCAAGAGCAAAGTGCAAAGACGGGCCATCCATCAAACAGTTGGGGAGCGGTCTCCGTTGTACTTGGCATCTCATGCTCAACGATAAGCTCTGGTGCCAACTTGACACTCTAAGGATCACGTATGTATACATGCACACTGCCCAACAGCAACACCGCAGCGGCTCCTTCACTGAATTATTTGCGGTTATGGAACGCGATCGCAAAGGCGATACTCTCTTAGGATGACTCACTCGCTTGCCTCAGCGCTGCTTAACATCCAGGCGTCATTGCTTGGGTAGTGGCCATCGACAATGCCGGAGGGCTCCAGTGACACAGCCGGATCACCCCGGGATTTAGCACTGAGTGGCATCCGTTAGACCGCTGGAAGTTCCCGTGGAACATGAGCGTCAAATGTACCCCGGATAAAGCCTGGCTGAAATGTATTTCTCAAACTGCCATCGTATTATAGCTGCGCTCCGTAGGCTACAAATGACAGCTCCGTTCAAAACAACTTTTAGTCACCTCGAACACCACACTACTCGCCTTGAGGTTTTCCTTGGGTGTACATACATGTATTGCACTGCCCTGTTACTAACATTACTAGTGTTGCTACATGTAGAGTGCTCTGTGGTGCCACTTACTTCGTCGATGCTCTTAAACTGGAAGTGTCGACGACTACGAATCCTCGCGAGTCAGTATCCTATTTTCGGTGGCCACTGCAGCGACTTGCTCATTGCGCGGGCTATAGCGGTCTTTGAAGAAGCGTTGCTGACTTTAGAGTACAAGTAATGGCAATTTTAAGAGAAAAGGGACAAAAAATGTTGTCTTTTATTAAAAGAAACATTGCTGGCTTCCGAGTGTTGCCAATTCTACGAGGAAAACAGATCGAAACGCGCCATACATATCTTAGGCTGTAAATCTGGTACAGATACATGTAACTACAGCATTCTTTTATGCGCTAAAGCAAACGGCTGCAATGCGCGGCTAGCTGGTGAGCTCGGCGCGAGTCCCTCAGAAATCAGGAAAACATGGATAGCACCCTCGCCGGCTGCGCAGATTCTCGAAAGAGAAAGTTTGTGCGCGTCTCCACAAAAGTCAAGCAAGGAACTCGACACTTTGTGCAGCGCATCCCACATGGCTGCTAACGTGTTGGCTACGCTAACGTGCGGGAATCGACATCCCGTGGTGACACCGAAATGCAGCCGCGCGGTCGAAAAACAATCTGTGTGGCCTCGCCACTGGCACTGCCAATGGCAGGCAGCCTGACCAGCCTGGTTAGGCTGAGCGCTGAGATTTTAGACTATGACCGCTACCACCATCATGACAGGGCTGGGGAGAGCTACTGAATTCTCGAGATTTAAATTGTTTCACAACATCGCTGCTGTGGCCGATAAGCTGCTCGAGTGACGCCTCGACAAAGTAAATAGCCTGCTAATTGCCACAAGGCCCTGGTCCACTGTGAGAATTAAGCGAGAACTTACATGAACTTCATGAGAGTGTGCATGTCAGTCGGTTCGCTACAACTTCAACTTTTTCGATGACCTGATTGGGTGGCTCGGCTTTGTCTTCTACATCCTTTCCCATTTGCTCTATAAATGTAGATTTTGAATCCGCTCTTCATTTGTCGAGAAGTGGAAGTCCATCCTGCGCTGCAAGAGCATCATTATTGCAGTCGATTCACACTGATTCTCGGTAATATAACTTCTTCTTTTTATGACACTGCTCACGACAAGCGGGCACCTCCCATGCGGCCATCGCCGAGATACACCACACGACAATTCAAATGAATTATTGTCCTCTTTTACTCCTTTTCGGTTTACTTTAAGCGAAAAGGAGTAAAAGAGGACAATGATTCATTTGAATTGTCGTGTGGTGTATCTGTTTACTTTAAGCGCTCAATAGTGTGCCACAATCAAACTCAAAGCTACTTCTTCCATCGTTTTTAAATATCTGAAATTGATTCCGATTTTGACGCCAGTGCTACGTTGCTTGCTTGTTACTAACAGGTTGTTAGCTTTAAGGCAAGGGGATCGGTTGCGCTGCTGCTGTTGTGTATGCAGCAGCCATCTTGTCAGCCTGCTTTTTCTTCTTGGTGTGCTCAGCAATGCGCTCCTTGAGCTCTTTGATCTCCATATCAGCGCTCAACAGCAAATTCTTAGTGTCCTGCACCTCCTTCTTCACAAAATTCTCGGCGCGTGCCAGCGTCTTGAGAATCTCCACATCTGAGTAGATTGGAAGGTGGTCCTGCATCGCCAGCGCTGGCGACTGCCGGTCCGGCCCAGCCATCAGCTTCTTGTAGAAAAACTCGGTCGGCTCATTAAACACAAGCTCGTCGTAGAACTCGCTCACCACGGGCTGTCAACATCGCAGTAACAGCGATAATTAGTACTCGACATGGATACTAGAAGGCAAGTTGCCAATATACCTTCTTGGTGCTAGCAGGTTGGCTGTTGGGTGGAAACAGTACGAGATGGTGGATGACGCTGATCGGCCGCTCGTTCGGGTCGTGGAAGTAGATCTGGATGAGCGTATCGAACTCGCCCCAACCCAGCTCCGTCACCTCGTATGGTGGTTCCGTTAGCACTGTGGCGGCAATTCAAGTATTTTAACGTTAAGATTTATACTTAACTGGCGGGTAGATAGCCAAGTGAAATTTGCACGAACCTCGAACGGGGTTGGCGAAGCTCACGTGCAGGCTGATGACAACCTTGCTGATCATGTAGGACAAGTCCTCGTTGTCCGCACCACGCAGATAGATCGACCAGCGGTGCGTCTTGGTCTCCTCGGCCTTGCGCCCGAGGTATGTGGCCACCGACCCATATAGAATGGGTTTGCTGACCACCACGCTCTTCAGCCGCTCGTCCGACATGTTGCAGGTTAAATGGCAGTTCCTAACAGTCCTTGAAACGATCCACGATTCGTTGAAATAATTTGAAAATCAGTGATTGGCCAATTTACCAGTTGCCGCACTTTTTTCAAACCAGCAAGTCGATAGCGTGGGTGCTCCCTGAAGAGAGAAGATGAAGCGGAAGCAAGCGACCGCCATGGCAACAACTAGCAGCGAGGAAGAAACCTCACCCTCGAAGAAGAAAGGTGCGCAACCGCTTAGCGCACAAATTCCAACTTTCTGATCGAATTACAACCGTTAGAGGGTGCTAGAATGAAATACTGAGTATTCCGCACGGTTTTTTACAATTGATTTTGAAAATCAACGTGCTCGCGTCGACAATAGTCAAAGCGTCAGGGACAAATGCACGTGAGAGAAATGCACATTCGCAGGAGGTAGATGAAGCGATCGACGTCCAGGGATTTTTGCTGCAGGAATGTCAGGCATCTTCCAAGGTTCGCTAAGCCGTACTATGCAAGTGCTGTTGGGGGTATGGCACTGACTTTCTGAATTCATGGGCTTATTTTCTACAGAAATTGGTAGAACAAGCAAAATTGCGAGCAGCAGAGCTACGGCAAGAGATGGAGGAGGGCAAGAAAGTGCTGCTGGATGCACTCGAAGCGGAGAAGGAGAATCTCGGCAAAGGTGCGAGTACGTAATTGAGTGAGAGACATGGTGCATCGGTAAAGCTGACGTGTCTTGTTCTCTTTCATCTGCTTTGTCGTAGATGGGAATGCCATTCCGCGAGCATTTACAATTTTTGTGCGGGCTGTTAGTGGGCCGTACCGAGGACGAAAGTTTTCTATGGACATTGACGTGGTTAGTCGCTTTCATACTGCTAGAACGAAGCCTCACACGCTCACACGGTTTGTTTATCTTGCACGCAGAAACGACAGTCGTCTTGCTTTATTGGACGTTCTACTGGACGAAAATTCCGTCCACCACGAGGCCTGAGTATGCCGAAAGACTCTGAGCTGTCGACCTCACACGGAGAGGTAGTGATAGTTCATTGTTGCTTCTATCGCACAGCAAACTAATGTGTCTGTACTTACAGGTCAAATTGGAGACGACAGGAAAAGTTTTCTTTATCGACTCGGAAAGTACTAACGGCACCCGTATCGACGATGTGGAATTGGAGCCGAAAAAGCCATACGAGCTCACAATTAGCAAACCCATAAAAGTGGAGGTCGGTGCTGGCGAGTACGAGTTCATATTCGAGCAGAAGGCATAGATCAAGATGCCATCGCGTGGCATTTCTCGTCGACTCAGGAGAACCGCAGAAAGTAGCACCGAGTTACTCAGTTATTAGCGGCTGC